TGGCCGATACCGATTCCGATCCGATACCAGTGAAGTTTTTTTCCCTCATTTAAATAAATGTAGAATTTATATATCTCTGTGTGTGGAACTGATAATCATTCTTTCACAATCTACTAGATACAGACTACTTCATTATAAAGAAAAATAAAATAAACAAATATGAAAAAATATAGGCCTATGTATATTTATAATCTATGACAAAAATGTATCATAAACTAGGTTAGTGGATAATTCGGCAGCCGAGTAAAATCTGAGAATTTATTAGCCATCGGCTAATATTAGACATCATTTAGTCGCCCAGAGTGAAGATTTAGTCGCATATGCGAGTGATTTACTCGCAATGTAGAGGGTTGACAGTCTATGAGCACAAAGCGCTTACAATGTGCGCACATTGTAAGCGCTTCGTGTTAAAAAGTGCAAAGCACAAAGGGAAGAGAAATTGATGCGTAGTGTATTATATCTGTGCAACAGTTATTGAGCCTTTCTTTTAACAGTTTTAAATTTCAGTTACTGTGCACGTTAAAAACTATTTATAGTCTTTTCTACACCCGTGTTTTGTTCTCACAGACACCCGGTAGCAAGTAACAAAACAACATTAAACTCCAGCAAGAAGATAGTCATTTTTGCAAAATCATAGACATGTATTTACAAATCAAGTATAATGAGAACACAGAATGATCTTGGCGAGAGCGTTACCGAACTGACTGCTGTAACCGAAAGGGTTTAAACTTTAAACTTTAAAGGCTGAACGAATGACTGACAGCCACAGCGGAGAAAAGAGTTTGTGTGAACTTTAATGTAAGGACTTAAATATTCATATGTAGCTCACATTAAGCTATCGTATGGCTTCAGAAGTAACACAGAATAATTCGCACAATCGAGAAAAAAAATTATAAAAATCTCGGATTTGGATCAGCTCTCTCTGACCGATACCCAATCCGAGAAAAATGGCACTATCGGAGCCGATACCCGATATGAATATCAGATCGGCGCATCCCTAGCCAAAGCTAAGCTAATGCTTCTGGTTGCAAAGCAGCTGGAGAGTTTTTGACTGCATCAATAATAATTTAGCACGAATTTGGCTATATTCCCCAACATCAGATCTCATTATCTTTGATCACAGGCAAGTGATTCCGTCCAGGAATCGTAAAATCAAAATGCTAAAAAAACAAACAAAAAAAGCTTACCTACAGCATTCATCGGGGTCTTGCTCTCCCAACTTACGCTCCTCCGTGTGCGCGCATCCATGTTGCTTAGTAACAAACGCGCTTGCAGCGGGATCACGTAATTTACGCGGAATCAACAACATTCTAATTTCTGATTGGCTGGTAGGTGTCATTTAACTCTGTATATAACTCGAGATAGCTCTGAACTCGGCAGAGAACTTCCCTCCGTATTCATCCATTAATTATAGCAGGACAAGTTATCCCTTATTTCTCAGCGTAAGAAATACAAGGTGTGGCGTGAGAGCATGTGAACAGGTTGAAATGCGTGTGTCTCGTGGTGAATGCGTGAGACTTGATAGCCCTGCACTGGTAATGTATATCGAAATATCGGAAATGTGTTTAAAAATCATATCACCGTTATTGAAAAAAAGTATATCGCGATACATATTGATATTGAATTATTGTCCAGCCCTACTGTTGTGCATACTCATCTGTGTGAGAGGGTACACATGAAACCAGCATTATGAGCCAGTCTTGACTTGCTATGTTCTGACAAACATGTTTTTGTGGTATTTATTTGGTCAAAAATACAGTAAAAACACATAATATTGTGATGTATTATTATAAATTAAAAAATGTTTTTTTGTTTGTTTTGTTTCGATTGTAATGCGTTTTAAAATGTAATTTATTCCTGTGATGTTAAAGCTGAGTTTTCAGCAGTCATTACTCCAGTCTTCAGTGTCATATGATCATTCAGAAACTATTTTAAAACGCTGATTTTATGCTCAAGAAACAATTCTTATTATTATTTAACTTGAAAACATTTGTGTTGCTTGATTTTTTTGGGTGGAAAACCATGATACATTTTTCCTGGATTCTTTGATGAATGGAAAGCTCAAAGAACAGCATTTATTTGACATAGAAATATTTTGTAACATTATAAACATCCTGTCATTTCTGATCGTTTCAGTGAGTCCTTGCTGTTTTGTTTCATTTTATTCTATTTTTTCTAAACTTACTGACCCCAGACTTTTGAACAGTAGAGTATTTTGGTAAATGTTTGTTTGAAAGTTGTGCTTTGTTTCTCTTTCTTGAAAATAAATATAGCTTGTTTTGAAATTATGTAATGTACATCACATCATTCATAAATTTTTAAGAAGTTGACTAAATCATCATACTCTCACAGCATTTACATATTTTTTGTCTTCTAAGTTGCTCTATAAATTATAAATACTCTCTGCCACTGTCTAGCAATAGCAGGTAGCAAATTGTGACTTGCTGGTTGCTAATAAAGGACCCTTGAGGGGACAGCTTACTTGTTTTCCACTTCATGAAAATTATGCAGTGCTCCATTAAAAACTTTAAAATGAGTCTGTGGTTTCGGCTCTCATATCATCAAGCTGCTCTTGAGCCTTATTTTGCTCTGTAGCTTTGAAAAGCCTTAACGCTACACTAAAACATTATAAGACGGAGTGATGTAACAGACTGCAAAGCCAAATAGGACCCCTGCTGTTCGATCGAAATATCTCTGTTTCTGCTATGTCTTGATTGAATCTCAACATTTGCTCTGTTTTTTTTATTTTTATTTCTGCCTGAAGCATGGCAGACTCCTAAAAGGCAGACTGTCTGTGTTCAGTACGTCCCGACATTTCACTCATCTCAGTTAAAGTGTGTCCCCATTGTGTCAGACCAGATCAGATGAGCCCAAACTCTAAAGCTGGATATACAGCATGCAATTGTTTTTTTTTCCGTCAGATTGTATGATATGATCCCAGTGAGATATTCCATTGCTTGTGTTTTGACAAATAAATTGGCACTGGATCAGGCTGCAGGTGTGACCTGTTGAAATTTAGGCTTTGCTAGTTGTCACATCTTTGTTTAAGTCAGGTGTGATCACAAGTACACTGTTCAAGAAAAACAAAAATCACCTTTCCTTGAATACAATGTTGTCATTCATTTTAGACATTCAGGGATGCACGTGCTTAACTAACATGTGAAGCTGTCACATGGGTAATATCAGAGACGGCACACTCAAATTCAGCACCCGATTCATTCATATCTCCAAATTGCCCTGCAGTATCTCTCACTCCGCCTCTAACTAGGATTGAAAATACTCTTGTCAGCTGGGAAGGCTCTGATATGGAGCGACTTTTATGAAAAAAACTGAGCAAAGTTCAGTCTCTGAGTTAACAGGCGTAACAGGAAGGACTGAGTTGTCTTTTCCACAGTACTGTACGCAATTAACCCTTCTCAAAAACCCACCCCCTTAGTTACTGTTGCTACCCCCGACAAGCCATGGTGCTGTCATGCTACACATCTCGGAGCAAAGAGAAAACTGGCAACGCACCGACAGACAAGTTTTGTGGCTCTTTAACGTGTCATGACAGATCGCTGTAGCACCTCAAGTTCAAGCAGCATGTGAACCGATCATCCTTTCCTTTTTACTAGTTAAAGTATGAAATAAACATGAATGAACACCAGAAGGTATCTTGTTTCAACCGCGGAAAGACGGCAATACACACCGTTTTCAAGTTCAAGTCCACTGACGCTAATCTACTCTCCTGTTTGGTTTGTTTGTCAGACACAATGGCAGATTCTGCATTGTGATTGGTCAGATCACCTGTCAATCATGACTTCCATTGAATGGACAAACAAACACTGAAACGTTCTTCAAAATATGTTATTTTATGTTGCACAGAAGAAAGTCAGTCATACAGGTTTGGAATGACACAAGGAAGACAGAATTTTCCTTTTTGGGTCAAATATTCCTTATATCATTCATCCTGGTTCCAGCGGGATACTGAGGACTTTATAACAGTGTTTGACTGGTTGCTGCTTAATTTGAGAGCATGATTTATTAGTTAAGAATCTATTAAAGCTGATCATATGGATTTTGTGACTGAATGCTTCTAATAAACTTTCAGCTCTTTAAGCGGCTTATACACACACTGAGTTTCTTTTGTGGATTTTTTGAAGGTCGAGAGCCGCATTCTTTACACACAGATTGCCAGTGGAAACTGACTTCTAACCTCCTTCAGGAGAGATAACAGCGCTCTCTCATTAGATACTCTCTAAGCCTTCAGCTTGCTTTTAGTTTATCACCAACACACAAACATTGAGACATTGAGCATCACTAGGAGCAGAAGACAAAATGGTTTATCATTTAGTTTTATATAATTTTTCTTTAATTCATGACGCTCTTACTTTCTTTAATATCTTGGCTAAAGCTCAAGGCTAACAGGAAGAGAATCCATCTCCATTAGTCCTTTGCTGGGTACTGCAGACCTCTCTCTGTGTCATGATGGCCAACTAGTTGTCCAGAAGCTACTAGTATATTAACTTCAAGACTGTGTGCTAGAATACCACTTGAATACATCCAGTAGTTGGTTCAAACATGTTAGAGTGTCTCATTTTTCAGGGCAGACAACCATAAACACATATGCATCCCATTTGAGTAATTTTCTTCTCTAAATAACATGGAGCAGAATTTTATTTGAAGGATATGGCAAATTCTACAAACATAGTTTGCGTTCATCCTGCTGAGGTTCAATTTATCTCTTAACTTTTCTGCCTGTACTGCTGATCCTTCAATAATATACAGAGTCTGCTGATAAATGCATTGCAGCTTTTCTGTATTCAGCTTTTTTCAGTTTTGTCTGTTCCTCACTGGGAAGATGGATGACTGCTTGGGTCGTTGTCCTCTGACACAAAACCATGATTGTATGCTCATATTACATTGATAGACACAGGTGTGTTGTTTTGATATGTTATATGTGTTATGGTGGGATATCAGTGGTTTATTTTATTTAAAGGTTTTTTTCATCTGTGTTTCAGTACACCCGGGTTTGGATCCCTGACCCAGAAGATGTCTGGAAGTCGGCTGAAATCATCAAGGATTATAAAGAGGGAGACCCAGTGCTTAACCTCAAATTAGAAGATGAAACGGTAAGAGTAAACCCTCCCCTTTATCTTTCACCAGCATACATGGCATGAACTTTACTGACCGTGTTATTGGTAAATAAATACACTAATTTTCAGGGGGAAAAAATATTAGGATCAAAATTGTGTGTCATTAAAATAGCCACAGCTGTTGTTGTGTAAAAATATATAGAAATTTATTTATTTAATTTTTTTATATATTTTTAGATTGATTTTCAAAGTCTGGGTCTGTGACAAGAGTAAAATGAAAAAAATCTGTTCAAAAAAAGCTTTTGAAAAGTAGCAAAAATAAATGAAGACATGGTAAATAGAAAAATGTACCAAAATAAAAATCATATTCCTTCCTGTTCAGACTACAAAATATCTACTTTACCTTTTAAGCGATTTTAAGCAGACTGAACAATAGTGGGTTTAAATTCTCAGTCAAAACAATTGTGTGCTAAACCTTCCTGCATTAGTTTGGGTTTCACCGTTCTAAGGAAAGTGTCAAATGAATCATTAATCATCTTTTGGTGTGTAAGAAGTACAGGCCCTGAGAGAGGAGGTTGTACGCCATATTCTCAAGTGTACTATCAAAAAACAATGTTGGGGACACCTAGGGTTGGGTACCGAAACCGGCACCGGTACCTATGTAACGTACCGAAACCGTAATGTACCAAATCAGAACGCAGATTTATGTGCCTCATTTCGGTGACACTTAAATGCCTGAGCAATCGATTGAAATATTTGTCCTGGTTCTCCGAAATGGACGTAAAAAGCATGGGCGTCGCTAGGCCATTTTTAACGGGGCTATAGCGATTAGATCTATAAACTGTACACAAATTCATGATCGCCTCAGTGTTAGTCTCCTTTAAGTTTCATATGAAAACAGCTGCCGACTTAGTCTCCTCCCCGTCTTTCAGCGCGCTCTTCAGCGCAGCGCAAGCGGACTCAAACAGAAAGGACACAACAGGACACAAGGTGTGTGCTTATTGATAGATTGTTATAATATCTGTATCTGTGCAGTTCTTTGTCATAAATAGTTTACAAAAGGTCACGAGGGAGCAATCGGTTTCCCATCTACTGTAAAGTGTTCGCTGCATTCATCAGCCCTCATCAAACACAGCTGTTTCCTCCAGCGAAAATCCGTCGTACCTACAATGCCTGTGCACTGTGTAAACAATGAGTGACGTATACGCGCGAGAGATCACTTCCGGCGCTTGCGTAAACTATGCCAGAGCGCGTACACACCCCACGCATCGGATGCCGTGCGCGTGCCCAAAGACAGTTGGACGTAGTGGTGCATTAGAGGTAAAAAAAAATTATATAAATACTGTTCAGTTTCTGGCACAAACCGATCGTTTCGTGTCTTAGGACATCAATGTGTCGTCACGAGCCGCAGGGTTTAATTTGGATTTGTCTGTGCATGTTTTTTTTACTCTCATAGATTTTGTTACCATTGCCATGCTTTATACGACTGATAGACTGCAACGGCTGGAGTTAAAAATCACAAACAAACGAAGTCAAAGTCAAACAAAGTCACCTACATCTTGGATGCCCTGTGGGTAAGCAGATAAACATAAAATTTTCATTTTTGGGTGAACTATCCCTTTAACACATTTGAACGCATAAATGATCATGTTGCTATTTTCATTTGAAAATGTAATATTTATTATAAAACATATTACATGTGGCGTACCATACAGTCATTCACAGAACTGATTAAAGACAGTGACAGACAGCACTCAGTCAATTCACTAATTTTAACTAAACATCAGAGTGATTGACAGAGATACTGTAGAAACATTATGTGTGGTTTTGTATTAAATATGGTTTTGTATTAAATAATGACCCAGATCATGAAATACATTTATTAGCTTTAGGTATCGTAAAAAACCCAATCGATACCCAACCAAGGGACACCTGAATAAACCAGTAGATGAAATAAAGATCAGCATGACTTATTGAAGCTCTTGTGTATGCATTAACAACACTCTTACTCTGCCAAAAGACACTTTTTGACTCTTGAACCCCATGGAGTTAATTGACATTGTGGTTTGAATCCAATCAATTTCTAATCTACTGTTTCTACTTAATTTGCATTTCTGTCGCTATTCCTAGACGTTAGAATATTCAATTGGTCCCAAAGACAATCCACTTCCATTTCTTCGGAATCCTGATATTCTGGTAGGAGAGAATGACCTCACGGCTCTCAGCTACCTCCACGAGCCTGCTGTCCTCCACAACCTCAAGGTCCGATTCCTCGAGTCCAATCACATTTACACTTACTGCGGTAAGTCTCTGATATGTTGGCAAATATATTGGTCATTTTATATCTTATTTGTGTTTAAATGACCTGACATTTGTCCAGTTATGATCATCACTTGATAACTCTCTTTACATGGCTTATTATTGGAAGTGTCCTTCATTTGTGGTAGCTCTAAAATCCAAAAGTGAGAAACATTTTATATTCAGGAATTGTAAGTAAATTTAATTTAAGCAATTTTTTGTAGGCTCTGTCTCATTTTCTATCAAGGCTAGTTTATTTAGGATAATTTAATAAAATGTAATTAAAATTAAATTATGTTAACATTTTAATAAAATTTAACATAAAAGTTAAATTAAATATAATATACATTTTAATAAAATTACAAAAAATGAATAAGGAAAGGATAAGAAATAAACGGTTGAATTATTAAAAAGAATAAAAAGGAAAGAAAAATTATATATTTCTTTTTACAGAAGAGTATCTTGCAAATACTCCTCACCAGCAGTAAATGTTGTAATTGCGAATCCAGGGTCAACATGCTTTACCGGAGAGGAACAAAGACAGCGTCTCTGTTTAGTCAACACTCATTACATTCAATGTTTCTATCAGTTACTCTGTCCCTATGACAGCATGCCCTTGTTAATAGGTTGTGGCATTTTAGGATTGCGTCTTATTTGAGGGTGTTTGTTTCTACTGAGAAATTCTTCTGAAAAAAAGACACATATTATGTAATGTATGTTTGAATCCTAACACTGGATGACGTGACCTCTCAGGCAGTCAGAAAGAGTGTATCTGTTGTTTTATATACACATGGTCACACAGTCTCACAGATATTTAATGTCTAAAGACCGCCCAGTTGTTGTTTGTCTTGTTTTATTGTTGGTTCCGCTTTGTAATGACTGAATGATTCCCATTATTGTCTCTGTCAGGTCACAACAATGCCCATTGCCTCATAATTCCTCTTTTATGTTTGTTTCTTTTTACTTTCACAGACATGTGTCTGTTTTGTGTTGTCTCTTTGAGAATGAAACATCATGCATTAACATCATTTTGCTTCCTGTGACATCATTCCATGATTAGAGTCTCCTAATATTTAATTAACTTATTTATTTTATCTGTATCATCAAGACTTTGTCTGATTTAATTTATGCAGTACAGTTGTAGGGGTAAAGCCATGTAAATCTCTCTCCTTAGGGATTGTTCTGGTGGCCATCAACCCGTATGAGCAGCTTCAGATCTATGGAGAAGAAGTCATCAATGCATACACCGGCCAGAACATGGGGGACATGGACCCTCATATATTTGCTGTGGCAGAGGAAGCGTACAAACAGATGGCCAGGTTTGTGATCATTTTTTCATAGCCTTACAATATTAAACACACCCCCCTCTCTTCAAAACCACACCCTCAAAACACGTCAACAAAGCTAAAAATGTACAGTGCTTTTCTGAATGTTACAAAAGCATTCAGTTTCAAATAAATGCTACTCTTTTGATCTTAGAGAACTCTTTTTGGAACAAGCATTTTCTCAAGTAGAGGTTAAGAAGTTGTTAGCATCAAGTGAATGTTGAAGCTGTTTGTTAAGCTTTCCCTGATGACACACGTACATCACAGAGATGTCTAACGTCTGCATTTACGTCTACAAGACGAATTTTTTTGTGTTTGCTCATCTGCAATACGTCTATAGGATGTTTCCGATTAGCTGTCAAATAGACGTTTAGAAGATGTTTATGATTTCGAATGTATGTAAAACTGGCATCTTAAAGACGTCTATCTGATCTTTGTACACAGCAGATGCTTTCCAGAAGAAGTGATCTTTAACAGATATCTTGCAGTGTGTTATCTGGGTTGTTGTTTTGTGATAAAGAGTTCAGGCTTCAGATCAGTGATTTCCACTGGCTGTAAACAGGAAATTACATCATCATGTTCTTTGAAAGCTGTGAGTAATCTGAAAGTTCAGCTTGACTCAATAATGGGTAGAGTGGGCAGATAATCACAGTGCACGCAGCATCATTCTTCGAACCTTTGTATTTACAAGTGGGGTTTTTTGTTGCTTGAATCATCAAAGCCATTTGCACATCAGGTTTAAGCTGGAGCTAAACATCCCACACTGAGACATCATGACTTACTAATGACTTGTGTAATGCTGAAGTCCTAAAATAAGCTCAGGCGAAGGAGGAAAGACGAGGCAAGGCTTGTGGTCAGACTATGCATTTGATAGGTTTTATACATGTCAGTAACACTGAATAGACAGGTCAATTATTTAAGAGTGTGTCCGAGTGGCACTCTGCTGCATTTAGGTTTTCCTGAGGTAGCTCTCCTGGGACAAGTGTGTGTGTCTAGTGCATATAGACCAAACGGCAGCAACCGGTGTGGTTTAGAACTTTAGATTGGAAGTTTTTAACTGCATTTGAAGAGTTCAGATGCAAAAACCTCTAAGTGCCATCTAAAATTTTCATCTAAAGTGAACTTTTTTTATCAGGCTCCTATTTATCTTTATTTATTTCACTTTAATGGCATAGAAAAGGACCTGTACATTGCCATTAAAGTACAATTACTGAACTTAAACATAGGAGCCTGATAAAAATGCTAATTTTAGAAGAACATTTCAGATGGCACTCTGAGGCTTTTGCTTCTTTTTTTGTCTTCTTTCCACACACCTGTTTTTTGCTATGCACTAATGTTCCTGATCCATGTAATTTTATATAACATTTAATAATTAAAAATAAATATAAATGTTGTTAATGTCTAGAACAGGGCTGTCCAAACTCGGTCCTGGAGGGCCGGTGTCTTGCAGAGTTTAGCTTCAACCATAATTAAAAACACCTGCACCAGCTAATGAAGCTCTTAGTAGGCATAGAAACTTCCAGTCGGGTGTGTTGAGGCAAGTTGGAGCTAAACTCTGCAGGACACCGGCACTCCAGGACCGAGTTTGGACAGCCCTGGTCTAGAATGTATATTTTGATATATTTTGTTAAGTATTTGCTTGACATCTTTAGCTGCTGTTATATTCAGCTACATTATTTGAAATTTAACTTAATTCTATTTATTCAAATTATGTTGCTGTGTCCATTTGAATATAGATACATTTTCTATAAATGATTCTAATTATCAATCTGAATTATTTGATTATCACATTTTCCAGGGAATTTTGGCCCTGCTTGTTGACTCTCTTTTATTAGAGGGTCAAATTATATCAGGCATCATGCAGAATGCATGTAACATGAATATGTTTCATATGCCTCTGAATTCTGTAAACACAGCCTTATTAGTTGAATGTGCTTTATATCGACAATGGATTTACAATGGATTTCCTTTATCATGCATATCATCTCAGATATTCATAGGGACGCTGTCTTCACACATGTAAACCTGAACTTTCATCTGCAGAGATGAAAAGAACCAGTCGATAATCGTGAGTGGCGAGTCTGGAGCCGGTAAAACGGTTTCCGCAAAGTACGCCATGCGCTTCTTCGCCACAGTGGGAGGTTCAGCGAATGACACCAACGTCGAAGAGAAAGTACTGGCCTCCAGCCCCATCATGGAGGTATGTTATGACATAGGACACATTACCAAAATAATTTGTGTTCAATCTAATAAACGCGTGCCACCAAGTACTTCCATCATGTGTGCAGCAGCACGTAAAGGTGCCCTCATTCATCACTCCATCTCATCGCAGCATTGCCACACTTGAGCTGCGAAATTAAACTCAAGAATCGGCAGGCCTGTTTGAACAGATAAGAGCGAAGCACGCACTTGTGCCCTTCAGGAAGATAATCTCAGTGCCAACGAGAGTGGCCAAATCTCACAGTCAATTTAGAGATATCATTACTGCAGAAATGAGCATTGGTGATAGCAGGGCCTCTCAGGATGCGAACCTAGAGATAAACCATCCTAATACTACACGTGACTCACAACACCCCAGCTCAGACAAACGAATAATCCAAAATCACTGTAATTACTTATTCTACATGATGCTGCAAACAGGATTTTAGGTTTACGCCTCCTCAATCGTTTTGCAACCTCTGTTGTGAAATTCTCTCTCCACCCTTTTTGTGTTCCATTATGCATCAACCATAGTAATTTGATGGCTTCTTTTTTCATATTAAACCAAGAAAAGAGTGACTCAACCATAATTAACACTCTTTTTTCCTTCTGTGCAGGCCATTGGGAATGCAAAAACCACCCGCAATGACAACAGCAGCCGCTTCGGGAAATACATCCAGATCGGCTTCGATAGGAGATATTACATCATCGGTGCCAACATGCGAACATATCTGCTTGAGAAGTCCAGAGTAGTATTTCAGGTCCGTCTCATGTAGGAAGGACGATTTAAGATTTTATTGCAGCCCCTTGTGCTTTTCCATGTACTGAACACTTTATTTTTGCAGGCTGAGGACGAGAGGAACTATCACATCTTCTACCAGCTCTGTGCTTCATCCTCTCTGTCAGAGTTTAAAGATCTTTCCTTGAGTAAGTAGCCAAATGAACTCAATGACTGGTTTGGTTACTTCCTGAATTTCTGAAATCCAAGTGTTTTTATTTGCCATTGACTGTGGCTGGGCAGTATGATGGTATATGCTGTTTGATGGCAGAAATGTCTCACGAATAGGTCTTAAAATGTGGTCTATATGGCATGAGATGCTAGAAAAATGTCTGAGCTCATGATGCAGCTCATCAGTCAAATTAATGCAATGTCTTGAAGTTTTTTCATTTTTTTCTCATTAAATACTCGTATGCAAATTAAAATGTAGGCTTAGGCTTTTTATCTTTCAACCACATGAGTGCATATCGTTTCATTTGCTAATTGCCTTTCATATCCAATGAGCACCAGTGGCCGTGTGGCCACTAAATCTTTTATACTCTTGCAGCATACCCAACTGCTTTATTTTTAAGTAATGAAAATGTAAATTTGATGTAAAAAATATTTTTAGTTGAATATATTTTTGATACCATTGCAGTGATATGAAATTACTATAATACACCACTGTTCAGAAGTTCCATTTTTGAAGAGTGTCTTAAGTTCAGAAATACAGCAAAAACAGTAATATTTTGAAATATTATTACTATTTAAAATGATAGTTTTCTATTTTAATGTATTTTAAAAAGTAATTTATTCCTGTGATTGCAAAGCTGAGTTTTTGCCATCCTTTGCTCCAGCGTTTAGTGTCAAATGTCAATGCTCAAGAAACATTTTTTTCTTATTCTCAACAGTTGTGCAGCTTAATGTTTTAGTGGAAACAGTGATGCATTCTTTTCAGGATTCTCCAAACTATTGAACGGCAATGTACCTGATTTTGATCATAATGCTACTACTGACAATCTTTAAGTCTTACTCAAATGCAAATTGTCCATTCACCCTCTTATTTTAGCCAGCGCAGAAGACTTTACCTACACGTCTCTTGGTGAGAACATTTTTATTGAAGGCGTGAATGACGCTGAGGACCTTGTGAAGACAAGAGAGGCTCTTACAATGCTTGGTGAGAACTACAGCAATAAACATGTCTTTAAGCAAGGCTTTGCAACAAGACATATCGAGTAGCAAGCATATTTAATATTTATCATGGTGATGTGCAGGTGTGAAAGAGATCCATCAAATGAGCATCTTTAAGATAATTGCCTCCATCTTGCACCTGGGGAACGTGGGGATCATGTCAGAGAGAGATGGAGAATCCTGCCATATCAATGCAAGTGCACAACAAATAGTGTGTCTTACTGTATGTTATTTATTTTAGCACATTAGCTGACTATCCTTCACTTGCCTAAACAATTGCAATCTTTTTTTGCACCTGCAGAGGGACGACACTCATTTGCATAATTTCTGTCGGCTGCTGGGTATAGAGCAGGAGCAGATGGAGCACTGGCTGTGCCGCAGGAAGCTGGTGACCACTTCCGAGACCTATGTGAAGAACATGTCACATGCCCAGGCGGTCAATGCCCGAGATGCCCTGGCCAAACACATTTACGCCCATCTCTTTGACTGGATCGTGGAGCACATCAATAAGGCCTTGCACACCTCCACCAAACAGCACTCCTTCATCGGTGTGCTGGATATCTATGGGTAATGCTTGTGATTATGAGAGGTCATGCAAGTAAAGATTTAGAAGCTTAGTTCTTTGGGTTTTTATATACAGTAGAGTAATATGTCTTATGTTTTGACCTTCCCTTTGCAGAAACCTCATTGAGTTTTTAGTGTCAGCAATTACTGTAAGCCTTTCTGACCATGGGACTAATTACTTCCTCAAAGAGGGGAACTTATTGATCAGCATTATAGTAAAGATTTTAATTTATAACCAGTTTATAGTTTTTTTTTTCAACAGCTTTCATTTTCCCTTTTTAAATAGGTTTTTTTTTTTTTTTTTTTCAACGGCTTTCAGTACTACTTTCTATCCTATTAGTCTTTTATATTATTAGTTTGAATAACAAAAGCCAGTTGCATGATAATATCATCTTCCAGGACATTTTAGAATTTAGAATTGCATTTACATTTTAGAATTGCATTTAGAAATGTATAGATCATATGGTATAGAAATGCAAAAGCGTAATCATTTTTAAAAAGTTAGAAAATGTTCTGCATGACAGGAATGACCTGTGTGTTTGTGTCATGACTCTTGGCTGTATTAAGTTTCAAATTGAATGTATTTGATGCATTTAACTAATACATGCACATCATATACCCCTCAGCATGTGTTTAAACTGGAGCAAGAAGAGTATATGAAGGAGCAGATCCCCTGGACGCTTATAGATTTCTATGATAACCAGCCGTGCATTGACCTCATTGAAGCCAAGCTTGGTATTCTGGACCTTCTTGATGAAGAGTGTAAGGTGAGTCGTGAGCAGAGGCAAAAACAGTTGTTGAGAATATGATAAAGAGAATTTGAGAGAGATGTTGTCTGAACAGGTCTCCGAACAGAGTGTCTCATTTAGTTTTAAACACCTCTGCCTCTTTGAAGTTTTTGAGTATGAATCAGAGCAGCTTCAAAAGGGTGATCATGCTATTTCTGCTAGAGGTAACCCAAATAATGTTTTCAGTTTCCTGCAGTTCAAAGTATTTTTTTCTTTACTGCATCTGACAGGTGCCTAAAGGAACGGATCAAAACTGGGCGCAGAAGCTGTACAGCAAGCATTCAAACAGTGGGCATTTCGAAAAGCCCAGGATGTCCAACAGGTCATTCATTGTGGTCCACTTTGCAGATAAGGTGGGTTCAGCCTATATTAAGTGCACTATAGGGCTCAGGATGCTGCTGGGATATCATGATATCACCAAAAGCATCATCCTTAACTTCCTGAAACTCTTTTACCAATAAAGTAGGCTTTTTACACTTTAAGCTCTAAACCATTTTCATTTATAACTAGGGATGCACCGAATGTTCGGCAACCGAAATTATTCGGCCGAAAATAGCAAAAAAAGCTCTATTCTATCTCTATTCGGCCGAATAAGCGAAAAGACAGAATAAATTGTACCGAACAATGATATGACGCGATCAAATAGCAACCAGCGCAGAGTGAGAGGTGCGCACTCTTTATTATGCAGCACACACGTCAGCAGTGTGGAAGCATTTAAACTGTCGGAGAAAGACGCAAAAATCATTACAAGCACTGACAGGGAGAGACTGTTTAGGACTTCATCGCATGTCTTCAATGAGAAGAGAAAGGGGTGATTGTTGCTGGTTACTGTATGATGATTGAAATCGCGAAATGGCCTTAAACAATTAGTAAATAAACTGCAGAACGTTATGTTTTCTAATACACGCACGCATTTCATGTATTCTGACAGCACTGCACGAACTCGCAGCAGATCTGCTTGTTAACCAGGGTTCAAAGTCCAAAGCGCGAGGTAAATCTTCTCTGATACAGTCGTCAGTTGCTCATTCACATTTTTATGAATTTTTACAAGGCATGTGACAATGCAATACATACGACGTATTCGTAATGAGACTAATCATTACAACAGCTCTGTTTTAATACATTTATTATAACATGCACACATAGTGTTCAAATTAGGATCTGTAATATTTTCTAATGTTTTAAAAGAAGTCTCTTCTCAGCAAGGCTGCTTTTAATTGTACAGTAAAAAAATTAATAAAAATACATGCCTGATTCAAGAAGGGTGTCTGACGGCCAAAAATGATTATTTTACTAACTTATTAATTTAAAGTTAAATTGTGCTTTGTTGGTAAAGTGTCTGCTAGAATGATAAAAATGTTCAGTGTTAAATATTTTTAAATTGTTGTTTTGTAATAGATTTTTTTTTCTTTGAAAAGCAAGACAAAACAGTAAAAAGCACATTTTGGCTTTTTAATTTATGCAATGGTGAAAAAAAATTGGGAAAATACATGGGGGGAAAAACTCGAAAAACTATATTCGGTATTCGGCCTTCGACCCAGTGTTTAATTTTGTTCGGCTTCGGCCAAGAATTTTCATTTCGGTGCATCCCTATTTTTAACCCTTGAACAGATTTTGTTTGCCTGGACTGAACTTGACATGACATAAATACTTTTTGTAGAAATTAGCAATTTGTGATGCACATCTGGGTTTTTAGGACGAGAATAGCTTAACTCTTTACAAACTTGCTCACTGAAACCCAACTTGTGTGAAATTGTGTTACACAACACAAATGATTTGGTTAATAATGCATGATGAATGCAATAAAAATAGCTGATTCTTCTTCATGCCAGTTTGGGGGCACAAAAATGATGTAGCATGTTATTTTAGTGTGGTACTGATGTACATGTCACACTTGTGACATTGTCACCCCTGACAGGTTGAATATCAGTGTGACGGCTTCCTGGAGAAGAATAGAGACACTGTTTATGAGGAGCAGATAAACATCCTCAAGGCCAGTCAGGTGAGCCCTGGGTATTTTTGGTAAGAATAAAATGTTATGTTTAAAAAAATAAATCCATCCCCATCCAGCTGGGCCTCTGTTTATACTTCACGCTTCCTCATGTCTGCGTGATTGGAATCACTCTTTAGCTCATGTCTTGCTCTCTGGCCCGTTTAATCAGTTAATTGACTTAAAGTTCTCAGGCAAACAGAGGCCTGACCTTGTCCACACCTAGCACTGAATCACTCGAACAGCCGGATCCATCTTAACCGAAATTTAATAGTATATCCATTGTCTTTGTCAATACTGATCTCTCTCGTAGTGTTTTGTCCTGAGGTTTCTTGGCAACAAAATTCACTGGAATCTGAGCTATGTTCATTTGCAGACAGCAGCACATCATCGTCTAAGTTAAAGACCTTCTCTGCAGGGCCATGTTGAAATGCTGTCGAGTTTAAAATGAAACTTTCACTAGGACTCTTGTAATGTCTTGTAATGTCCCTGTGGAAGAAGTGCAATTTAAACATCAGTTTGTCTCAAGAGATAACAGTTTTCAGCACTGCTGTCTGAAGTTTGCTATTACTTTAAATATGCTTCAGAGCTATGTTCTCTTCAGGATATCAACAATGCTGAGCAAGGCATTTCATGCAGGGCCTTCATTGTGGTTTAAAATGTCGTGGGGTTTCACAGATCAAATGGTGAAGGCATAGCTCAGCTCATGCATATTAATTAGGTTGCACACAAATGATTTAACATGATCTTTTACTGATTTAATAAATAGTCTAAGTGATGTCTTACTTTTTTATTAGATCTACCACTGATCAGCACTTAAAAGCCAAGTATGACTGCTGCTGCTACTACTATTATTATTATTACTACTTGGCTACTTTTGAAACTTAATACTTGGACTTTTACTCTAAAAAAACTTATTTCAAGCATATATGTCCTTATAGGAATGGTTTGGCCAAAAATGAAAATAGTTGAAAATTTACTCACCCTCGGGCCATCAAAGATGTAGACGAGTTTGTTTCTTCATCAGAATAGCTTTGGAGAAATGTAACATTACATCGCTTGCTCACCAATGGATCTTCTGCAGTGAATGGGTGCTGTCAGAATGAGAGTTCAAACATCTGATAAAAGCATCACAATAATCCACAAGTAATCCACAATACTCCAGTCCATCAATTAATATCTTGTGAAGTGAAAAGCTACATGTTTGTAAGAAACAAATCCATCATTAAGATGTTTTAACTTTAAACCGTCGTTTCTGGACAAAATACGAGTCCATACATCAAAATAAAGCTTCCTCCAGTGAAAAAAAAACTCATCCCCAAAATCTGTCAAAAAAATTTGTTTAAAGTAATGTTAAATGTCTCCAAATCTGTTCCGATTAAAAAACGAACTCATCTATTTTTTTGGATGAACTGGGTAAGTAAAAGTTTTCATTCTGGGGTGAACTATTCATTTAAAAGTATACTATATTTTTTTCTGTCTTACTGGTTTAAAACAGCCAATGAAATCCTTTTCAGTGTAAAACTGTAATTTTTTGTTTAACATAAAACAAATTATTAAAATTAAAATTTTAACTTAAATATAATTTCCCAGTACTTTTTACAACCCTGTGCAACTCGGGATACCATTGCTGTCCGCACCTTTAATTTGTATTTAGTCTCTGGTCCATCATCTCTGTTTATCAATCTCTACCTACAGTGTCAGACTTACAGTGACTGCAGTTTAATGATGTCATCTGTATTCCATCTTAGAGCCCTGTATCTTGGCAGGATCACGGTATTAAGGATTCATTGAAACACTGTGTACCTGCCTTGTGGTGGATGCTTAGGGAGTGGATTTTAAAGGGATTCCAAGTGTGCTTTGAAGTGCTGCTGGAGTTGAATACAAATTTTATGCAAATTTTAGTCTAGCTGGAATAAAAAAAACATCTGGGTTTCTTATGCCTCTTATGCAAGATGTGATGCATCTGTAATATTACTGGATAGCTTAAAGCAGTCAAGATTTCTTCATGTGACACTTATTATCAAATGTATTCTTGTGTCTCTACAAAATATTTTCTTTCTTTCCTGAAAAACTGTTGTGTTTTCTGTGTGTGTGGTTTTTTTTTTTTTTTTTTTTGGGTACAGTTCCAGCTGGTTGCAGATCTCTTCCATGATGGTAAAGATTCTGGTCCTCTCTCAGCCACCAGCAAGAGCTCCAAGATCAACGTCCGGCCTGCCAAACCAGTTCCAAAAGGCCACAACCGTGAGCACAGAAAAAGTGTGGGCACCCAGGTGAGGCTTAGTGTCAAGAGGCCAGTTTTAGGTCCATGTTTGTGCTTGACAGTAGATCAACTGACGGTCAACTTATTATGAAGATGAGGTGCTTAACATAATGATGAAATAAAAACTTTCTTTCACAGTTCAGGAACTCTCTACATCTTCTGATGGAAACGCTGAATGCTACCACCCCTCATTATGTGCGCTGCATTAAACCCAATGATTATAAGGAATCCTTTGTGTAAGTTTTATTTATCCATTAGTACTTAGTTTATCTTGCCTATAAATAGAGAGGTATAGCTAATTCATTTAAGCTGCCAGAGAACATTAGAGTCATGCTGGTACAGAGACATTTGATCGACCTCAACTGCACCCTAAGTTTCCTCCAACAATCAGACATCAACGCTCCTCTGAGAATTAGCCGAAAAGGTTATATAAAATATAATTAAACCTGGTTTTCTTTTTTTAGAAGTGGCCCCCATCTGCAAAGTACGTGCTGAGTTAACACTTTTGTTAATTATTTTTCCATTAAATGTTTGAGGTGAATGGAAACCTGACATTGACTGGTCTGTTCCAAATACTATAATAAAAAGAAATATGGTACTTGTCAGCTTTTTAATGTGTTACACTATATTCATCTTCAAACAATCATGTTTAATGTATTTATTTGCTTATTTTTCTCGTAAAGTTCACAATTCTGAGAAGTGATAGGGTTTTGTTTTGCTTCCTCTTCAAATTCTGAGCACAAAAGCCCCTTCAAGGATGCTAAATTGACAGGGTTTTGTCAGTCACATGCTCTTAAGGTTGTGAACACACAGTCACAGAGCTCTGAGTCAGATAGCTTCCAGTCCCTGAGCGGACTGCAGTCTCCCAATGCCTCTCTCACGGGAGATGTGCTCTATGCTCAAAAGAAAGATCCGGTAGGTCTAGATAACACCCCAAATCTCTCGTGGGGTGACATGCTCACTTTTGTACCCATAAAAAATGTCAAGATCAGATTTTCCTTGTTTAGGATCTTCTTGTGTTGGTTTTTGTAAAGATTCCTCACTCTTTGACTGACTCTTTTGACTTATTGCTTTCTGTAGGTTTGATTCTAGAAGAGCTGTTCAGCAACTGCGAGCATGTGGAGTTCTCGAGACTATCCGCATCAGTGCCGCCGGGTATCCCTCCAGGTAACGATCTGCAGATTCTTTTATAGGGCTTTAAGGCAGGGTAGACATGGGGGCTCTTGTCTTATGCTCTCAAGCAAGACATTAGGAAAGAGTTTTGGTGCTTCATATATACATGCATAACCTCATGTTTTCTCACTAATCATTGGAAATGATATAATTATGGAAATCAAACCACTAGTACAAGTTTATTCAATATGTGTTTTTTTCATTTCCTTGTCGCATCATGTCACACACATGTCATTTCTTAGGTGGACCTATCCAGATTTCTTCAGCAGATATCGGGTGCTCATGACACGGAAGGACATGACCATTGGCGATAAGAAGCAAGTTTGTAAGAACCTGCTGGAGACCTTAATCAAGGTAAGATTACCGTGGTTAGAAATAGCTTATATGTAAGTTACATGTGTAGTGCTCACTCTCATGCTGGTATTGTGGTAATACCATGTTTGTCTGGACATTTACCACAGTATTTTTGAAGTACCTTGTACATTTATTACCATGGTATTGCCGTGGATTAAGAAAACAGATGAGCTCAAAACTTCTTCCTATATTAGCAATTAAAATATTTCTTAAATATTTCTAACATACAATCTGATCAAAAGTTTGGGGTCTGTACATTTAAGAAATTAATATGTATTATTCAGCAAGGATGCATTAAATTGATCAAAAGTAAATATATAATTTTATGTAAGTGGCGTTCCGTCCATATAAGCTGCGAATGCTCCGTATACCCAGGCCATTTGAGAGAATAAATTCACGGGATTATTCATATAAACATGATTATAAGTTGATCCCTGGTCATTTGAAATGTAACTTAAAGCTTAAAGAGTTAGGAATAAGTACGTAAAATTATTTATTTGCCAAACGGCAGTAATTTTCTTTAAATCTACCAGTTGCGGTTGCTTCCGGGCGAGCGGATTCTCCACAGCTTTCTCGCCTCTGCTCTGTTGCTATGAGTCGTCAGGATTGATGCGCGTTCTCAGTGATTTGCTGGTCTTCGACAGGTTTAATGCGGTAGGTAAGCTGTCAGCGAAGTGCACGCCCGAGCAGAAAAATGTGCTGCTGCTGTCAGATCTCGATTGCAAAAAATTACATTGTGTTTGATGCAAAGCCAACTCGATTAAATCAAAAGAAAAAACACTGTAACTGTATATTTTTGTACATTTTTGGTCATAGACAATGTATGTTGAAGATATACATTATTGTCAACGTTATTGCCTTAGCGGTAAATTTAAAAAATGTTTTTAGAAAAACGTGGGCTATATAAAATTTTAATAATAACAAACATCATATTGTTCCCTTTGTTTTGCATATGCTCGTGTCGCTTACAATTAAAGTCCTTCTCTGATTTTATTATTGTTTGCGAGGTTGCAACGTTACTTTGCAATTTGCAATATTTTTTATATTTTTGGGTATTTTGCATGGTCTGTTATTGTCACCCGAGTAGTGTCACCCGGGTGGGAGTTTTAACTCCTATTCACTGGGAATAAAAAAATCATTTAGCTGATGCAGAGACATATAGACGGGGGAAATCCTCCCATCTCCCCACCCTCTGATCACGTATCATAACGTAACTACGTGTAAATGTTATTTGGTGGTTTTTACTTGGAAAACCAGCTATATTTAACTATGGATAAACCTGAAACGATAGAAGGATTGGAGATGAATTTAATTTACAAATTTCTTATTTGTCATCTGTGATCCCTTTTGAGTGTCCTAAAAACCGATAGGGGGGGGGTCTTATCACTCAGCATACCCGGTTAAAAAAGTCACCGTTCGCCACTGTATTATATATTTACGTTTCAAATAAATGCTGTTCTTTTGAACTTTCTATTCTATTCTATTTCCATCAAAAAATCCAGAAAAAAGTATCACGGTTACCACAAATATGTTAAGCAGCACAACTGTTTTTCAATATTGATAATAAGAAAAAATGTTTCTTGAGCACTGGATCAGCATATTAGAATGATTTCTGTTGGATCGTGTGACACTGAAGACTGGAGTAATGGCTGCTGAATATTCAGCCCACTTTGCCATCATAAAAATAAATTAAAGGGGTCATATGATGCGATTTCATTTTTTCCTTGCTCTTTGGAGTGTTACAAGCTCTTGGTGCATAAAGAAGACCTGTAAATTTGCAAAGACTAAAGTCTTAAATCCAAAGAGATATTCTTTATAAAAGTTAAGAGTCAGCCACACCTACCTAAAACGGCTCGTTCTAACACGCCCCCACATATCTACCTCACTATGTGGGAAGATTTGCATAACGCCGCCCAAATGTGCACGCAAAGAAAGAAGGCGTAACTTTTATTCTCGCTGTAGTATTGTTGCCGCTGCCGCCATGTCTTGAAGAAGCAGTGTGTCTCTTTGTGAAAGCGAAACTACTTTGTTTGGTCTTCCAAAAGAGGACGATATCCGCTTAGTCATGCCTAGAGCTGATCCGTGCTGGTCACTGAGGGAATACATCAACTTAGTGCTGTGGATCTATGATGCAATGCAACGCAACGCGTAAAAAGACAGTATAAGTCATTATAATAAGTAATTATGTCCCCACTGGATGCAACAAATGCCTCGTTTGTAATGGGTTTTAATGTTTTTGTGTCGTCGCTCCGGCTGGGACACGCCATCACAGTATGTGAGGGGCGTAACATTTCCGTCTCACGCTTGAGGTATTCGGCCAATCACAACGCACTGGATAGCTGGCCAATCAGAGCACACCTCACTTTTTCAGACCGATGAGCTTTGTCAAAATCGATGCGTTTCAAAAAGGCGGGGCATAGAGGAGAAACAATAATGTACAGTATGTGGAAAATAATGTGTTTTTTTTTACTTTAAACCGCATAAACACATTTCATTACACCAAATACACAAAATAATGTTCTTTTTAGCAGCATCATATAACCCCTTTAAAAGATTAAAATGTACATTCAAAATTAAAAAATAATTTTAAAGGTATTTTATGTTGTGATATTTCGTAATATCACTGTTTATTTTTGACCAAATAAATGCAGCCTTGATTATAATGTTTTTCAAAAACATTTAAAAAAAATCTTACTGACCCAAGACTTACAGTAGTACATTTATCTCAATAAAGAGGTTTGTGTTTTTTTTTTATTTTTTTATACAGTTTGGCATTTTTACACTTTCTGCTTGTCCGAAATAGCATTTTGGACTCTTGGGCAGTGTTCAGGGGTTAAATATGCCGCCTTCAACATGAAAAATATTTTATTAATGTTTATTCAAGGATATTTGTCATGAATAAACCTGTTAAATGTGACTCTTAACTTAATTTCTCCTTCAGGATCCAGATAAGTTCCAGTTTGGAAAGACAAAGATTTTCTTCAGGGCAGGTCAGGTGGCCTATCTGGAGAAGCTCCGAGCTGATAAGTTCCGCTTCGCCTGCATTAAGATCCAGAAGACAGTGCGAGGATGGCTGCAGAGAGTTCGGTACCGCAAGATCCGCAAGTCTGCTATAACTCTGCAGAGATATGGCCGGGGTTACTTGGCACGCAGGTGAATGTTTGAGTTGACTGTTCTTAGATTGAACTTCACTGGCATGTTTGTCGCTCTACTTACAGCTCTTGTTCTCCCATTCTCTCTCAGATATGCAGAGATGCTTCGTCTGACCCGAGCAGCACTTATTTGTCAGAAGCAGTACCGGATGGTACGAGTTCGACAGGAGTATTTGAGGATCCGGCGGGCTGTGATCACCATTCAGGCATTTGCCCGGGGCATGTTCATACGCAGGTTATATCAGGAGGTACTGCACTGCGCTTTATCTTTTGTTTCACTCTCTTCAAGCTATGTTTCTTTAAAGCACAGTTTTAAGCTGCATTTTCTGCATTTTCAGTTCTTGCTCCATCACAAAGCCATGATTATACAGAAGACCGTCCGTGGTTGGCTCGTGAGAAAGAAGTATCTCCATGCCCGAAATGCTGCCATTGTCATCCAGTGTTTCTACCGCCGCGTACGTGCCAAGCGCCAGCTCAAACAGCTTAAGATAGCGGCCCGTTCGGCCGAACACTTTAAAAATCTCAATGTCGGAATGGAGAACAAGATCGTGCAGCTCCAGAAGAAGATGGATAACCAGGTACAGGAAGATAATATAATGCATAAATGTTTGCAGAATCACCAAAACCAACTGACATGATGTTGAGTTGTTATCTCTTTTCTTTACAGTCAAAAGAGCATAAAACTCAGAACGAGCAGCTGAATGTTACTAACACTGCTCTGGGATCAGAGGTCACTAAGCTCCAGAAAGAACTGGAGACTCTCCGCATTCGGCAGACTGCTGGCACTCAGGTGACATCACTGCAGGAAGAGCTTGAGAAGTTGAGGGTGGAGCTTCAGGAAGCCCACGCCCAGAGGAAGCAGATAGAGGAGGAGTTCAGCAACGAGAAACAAGGACTCGAACAGGTGAGAAAGGATGCTCAGATAACTAGTCGATGTTTGTTGAAGTTCTTTGTCTCAAGACTTGTTTTCGTATTTCTGCTTCATTTAAGTTGTCTGAGGGTAAATAGTTGAATGTTACAAAAACAGATCAGTGCATTTAGCTTTTCAGTTTCCACAGAAAAAATGACACTCTTATCTCTCATAACAGGGCAGCTGTTACATAACTAATGTCTGTCATGCACAAGCAAAGTTAATAATGCATGGAAATTGTTTAAGAGGATTGACCAGCTCACAAAAGGTCTCTTGAAATGGAATAATCAGCTAGTTTGTCTTTAATGTGATCATCTTCCTCATGTTTTGATGGTAAGAGTTAAAAATAATAAATGTAAATTATAGTAATGACTTAAAATATATTCACTGCACTATTTACACAACGTAAATAGTGTTTAAGTTTATTCTCTTATTTTTCTTGTTTTTTTTGTAATAGAAACATATAATAAATATATATGTTTATATATACATACACTACCATTCAAACGTTTTGAGATCGTAAGATTTTTTTATGTTTTTGAAAGTCTCTTATTTTCACCAAGGCTGTATTTATTTAATCAAAACTACAGTAAAAACAGTAATACTGTATAATATTATTACAATTAAAAATAACTTTCTATTTGAATATATTTTAAAATGTAATTTTAAATTTGATACTCAAGAAACATCTTATTATTATCAGTGTTGAAAAGAGTTGTGCTGCTTAATATTTTATTGAAAACCGTGATACATTTGAATGCAGTTTAATGCATTCTTAATGAATAAAGTATTAATTTCTTTGAAAATAATCTAATTGACCCCAAAGTTTTGAACGGTAAGGTGTATATATATATGCACAAAAAGGGACTAGGGATGTTCTGAGCCGATCTCAAGGACGGGGGCTAAAAAAGCCTTTTTTTTTTTTTTTTGTAATGCTCTCCTCAGCCCGATCTTTATTTTACGTCAGTTGTCATGCCGGTGTTGTGCCCAATTTCGACCCCCTGCCAAATTATTGCCCCCACCGCCCCCCGTTTAAGTCGCTACCTGATTGCCTAATCCTAACCCCTCCCCCACACCTACTCCTAATCCAACCGATGCTAGGGGGGCAGTAATCTGGCGGGGGTCAGAATTGGGCACAACACCGGTGTTGTGCAGCAGGAGGCGGTATGTTGGCAACCGCCTTTAAAAGGAAAAGAAGACGCTTAAATGTGTGACGTGCGAGAAACTGTGAGGTCTGTTCTAGCACATCATACACATTTGAGATTGCGTGTTCAGTGTATTTGATGCACACTTTTGTAATGATCACTTATTAATTTATCATTTACTTTTATCTACTGTCAGACTTGATTCAGACTTGAATGACAGACTAGCACTTTGACAGCGCGAGCTACATGATTTCTAACCTTATCTCCACTTTGTTGCAATTATTCTGCTTATTGTGCATATAAAATACAAGAGGTTTATATCAGTAGTCCCATATTCATAATTGTGACATGCATGCAGTGTGTGCATATAAACACAAAATCGAGGACACTGATCGGGACATATCAAATAATAAGATGGTTTGAAATAATTATTCATTTTATTTTAATTCAGATTTTCACTCAAATTGTTATGCTGATAATATAATTGAATATATTTAATATTAAATAAGAAAAATACAAAATATTAAATCAAATCTCAAACTTGTGGACCCCACTGTATATAATCTGAACTGGCTTTCTTAGAGTTGAAGTTGCTCGCTTTTCTGATGGTTTGAGTCGAAAGTGTGGTGTGACTTTTCCTTCCTTTTGCAGAGGGTGGAGGAGCTGGAGAAAGAGAACACGCTCTTGAAGAAGGAGAAAGAAGAGGTGAACCGCAAAATCCAGAACCCCACTCAGGGTGAGTTTCATGCTTCAGAGTCACATGCACACTCAGAGCATTTGGAGGAAGGAGTATGAGGAAAGGATGTGTGGCTTGCCTGGAGGGCTGGGCTGGTTTTGTTTGACGCACAAGAGGGTCTGTGTGCAGAAGTGGGATGAGAGAGACAGAAACTGCATTGGATTTCAGTGGAGGAATGTGAAACTGCTTCTTTACCTGCACAACTAAAAGCTGACCATTGTATCAAGCTGGTTCACATGCGAGAATGCTATTTGAAACCCAAGGTTTGGTCTCAATACGCTTTCTATTTGTTAAATGTCACTTTAGCGAGTTTGTTCTGTGCTTATTTTCCTCAGGGCTGTGCTGTTGTTGAGGCTGTTTAAGTTGTTTTAAAATGCTATTCAAAGGACTGTTATAAATGGAGTGATTGTTTTGACAAATGACAACTTTTATCAGTTTTTGTTAACAGTGTCTTTGGTAGGAAACAGATTTTTTTCTTTTCTGGTCTTTATTTCGGGGCAATCTAAACTGTCTGATATTTTACTAAGTGTAAAGGTGACCCTCACATCATTCCAAATGACTTCCTTTTCATTTGCTGACCACAAAAAAACTTTTTGTCCATACAGTGTAAGTCTATGGAGTCCAGTCAGAGTTGTTTTGGACCCCATTGATTTTGTATTGTATTGACAAAAACAGTTCTTCAGAATACCTTCTATTGTGTTTCACAAAATAAAATAAGTCACAGGTTTGAAATGACATGAGGGTGAGTAAATGGTGACTGGATTTTCGTTTTTGGGTGATCTATCCCTTTAAAGAAAAGTCTTGTGCAATTCAAGTGAATAGGACAGTTAATGCTGGAGGCACAATCAAGCTTGCATGTGGTATTGATAAATCAGATAAAATTCATTATAACCAACCCTTTTAACATATGAAATACCCTTTTGTTTTGTAATTTCTATAACAGTTAAATAAAACAAAAATAAATTGAAGGAAAATTTACAAAAAATGCTTCATCAAACTATCAGGCCATACATCTGATAGCACTTTCAGAATCTGTTCAAAGGATGTGATTAGAGGTTTTCACACAGTACATTCAACATTGAGTACAGTGGAGTAGAGTTTGCTTTAAGTCAACAATGATGTTTCGATTATAATATGCATTGTGAATGCAGAGTACAAGAGAAAGTGCTTATTTTATTTCTATCGAGATAACAGAATCAAGAACATATTGTAACCTACACATAGATGTTCAAAGGTCTTCCATCAGAGTAATAAAGATCTTTTATTGCTCGATAAAATATCAATCAAGCCGAAGATCAATAAAAGATTGTTAGAAGTGTTATCATCACTGTCACATTGCATAATATCCAAGTGGACTCGGCAACACAAAACCTGTAGTGTGAATGTAAAATAAACTGAGACCTCACAACTAAAATGGATCAAAAGAGGTTTCAGTTTTTCATACCTTTAGATACTGAATGAAAAGCCCTAATTAGAGCTAGATTATGAGAAAGATACGTTTTTCACACACATGATACCGAAATATTCAGCTTGTGAAAGTTGATACAGGTGAATGGGAGCAGCATGTCATCTGGTTCATTGCTTTATTCCTGTGTGTGAATGCCTTTTTGTCTCTCAGGTCAGGGCAGCGATGCGTCTCCGAAAGAGACCCGTCTGCAAGTTGAACTGGATGAGGAGAGACAACGATATCAGAACCTGGTGAAAGAATATTCCAGACTGGAGCAGAGATACGAAAATCTGCAGGAGGACTTGTCCTCCATGAAGGTAACGCTTTGACAATAAGTCTGAAATTCTGGAATTTGCCTCTTTTTTTTTTTTTGGGGTGTTTTTAATGTCTGTATGGTTTTCCACATTCTAGTTCCATCCTGGCCACCGGAGGAACCCCTCTAACCAGAGCAGTCTGGGCTCCGACTCCAACTACACTTCCATCAGTATTTCCGAGGTGGGAGACACTGATGACACCATCCAGCAGGTGGAGGTAAAGTTATTTCACTGAATCTGCCAACAAACACCAGCAGACTTTGAAAAGGGTATAAAGGCACTTCAGAATGAGCATTAATGTGGTTTGTCTCCCTGCAGGAGATGGGCATAGAGAAGGCTGCCATGGACCTCAGCGTTTTCATGAAGTTACAGAAGCGTGTACGAGAGCTGGAGCAGGAAAGAAAGAGGCTGCAGACCAATCTAGAGAAAGTAGAGGAACTGAGCAAACGCAAGGCATGTTTATTTGTCATGTCTTCTCTGCTTTCATACATTTCTCACAGTTGCCACAAAACAAAAGAAAACCAAAAATAGAAATTACAAAATGTTTAACAAAACAAAAAACAAAATTTTTAAAAATAAAACCATAAATATATCAAACAAAACCGATTTTAAAATTAAAGTAAAAATAAAATGAAATACAAAATAATTACTCTCTATATTAGCAATATATTTTAAGACATTTAAAAATTCAATCTCAAGCTGTGACGTAAACTAAAGTCTATTGGCCTTAACTTGAAAAATGACAACAAAGGAAAGAAAACTGACTGTTTAATCATTTGATAGGGTGAATGTATGTGTTAATACAAATTATCTTAAATAATGAAGCTTTGTTGATCGTTATGTGTTGATACTTTTCTTTTTATGCTCTCATTACGTTTGTAGAAACAGAAGTTAACCTGAATGACTGCTAAACATTTCCCACTTTTTGGCCATAAGTTACAACATCATAAACACCAGTTATCTTTTCTGATGGTCCCTCATCTGGACTTGCAACAGCATGGTCCTCTGCTTTATCAGTCAGCTTATGTTTAAATTTTTTTTTTTCATTCATTCTTTTATCTTATAGGGAAATGAGCCCAAGAGCTCCACGTCAGAGGAGGATATAAATGCAGACCTGGCCTACAACAGTCTGAAGGTAAGAGTCAGACCAGTTCAGTGTAATGGTCATGCCGCTCTGCCTCCAGTCAAATGTCTGTCTTGGTGCTCATTGATTTGTTCTGCACTGGGGCCGCTCTGCTGCTGCTGCTGGTTGTCTTGCCTGTTAAACTCTGGGTGAGTGGAATGATGCAGAAGTGTAAGACCAGGGCATTTTTAGAGAGTTGAACTATGGCAGGAAGGCACATGGCAGGAATGGCAGGAAGGCTTTTATTATTGCTAATCTGTTTGCATAAATCAACTCCATTCTTCATTTTGTTAATTAAACACTTTAACTTTCTAACAAATATTGAAAAGTGGCTTTGTATAGACATTGAATTTGATACAAATGAAAAGCAAGGCTGTGTGGAATAGAGTGATGTTCAATAGGATATACAGTTTTAAGATCAAGTTGATTTCTTAATAGTTCTCTCTTTTGATCTGATATTGAGAAGTCAATCAACTCACACAGAAGCAGAGACAGGAAAGCGATCAAAATTATTTTTTCAGTGCTCTGTCTAACTTTGTCTGCACAGAAATATTATAATAAGCAATGAAAAGCTATTTATTAAGCTAAAGCAATGAAATATTTCTGCTTCTCAACATTGTCTTGTGACCTTAAAGACTTTGAAACAAGTTCTTATGTCTGAATTTTCTCACTCTCTAATAGGGCTGTCAAAAAAAATTTGAATTCCGAATATTCGTCGAACTTAAAATAAAAATTCACATTCGAATGCAAAACCGTTGCATTCGAATTTTAGGTGTGCGTTAAGGAGGCAGCCTTATCAGTGGCGCACAAGATGCGATGACGATGTAAGTGTCATTGCATTTTTGAATGTTTTTGTTAGCCTATCCAGCTGAAGCCACTAGATGCGGTGCTGCTGCATTTGTGCGTTGTTAATTACAAATATTGTGGGAAAAGAGAACATCAATGCAGAGATCTTGTTTACGTCAAAACTGAAACCAAGCCGTTCACACAGAATGCATATTTCGCGTATTTTCTAGAGGGACACCTATCACCGTTGCACTCACATCTCGCACAAAAGAGCCACATGTTTAGAAAGCCATGTAAAATTAATAGAAGTTCAACTCTGAAAAAACATCTCGAGACTTTATGGCGTCTCAAGTTTTTAAATGAAAAGTATACTCTGTGTGATTGGCTTTCGACCCTTTGTATTAAACTATGAATACATACATGATGCTGTTTTGTTTATAGTTGTTTAAGCAACTTAATTAATTGTAATTGGTTTATAAACATTATTTTAAACATTATGCACTTTTTTCACTGATAGTCATGTTATGCATTGAATAAACGTGCATTAGTAATATTTTGCTCGATGCGCCCTCTTGTGGCCTCAGAAGAGAAGCCAAAAGTTTTTCTTCACCCTAACTGAAATTATGCATTTTAAATTTGAATATAATTCGAATTTTGATAATATTTAAGTACAAAATTCGAATTTAGTTTTTCAGTCCTTTTGACAGCCCTACTCTCTAATTTGCTTTGAAAATGATATAGCATAAAAACTCAAGATTAAATAGTGCAAACAAACAATATCAGATGAAAAGTAGTACAACGGTAAAAAATAATGAATTTAATATTAAGAAATGCATAAATGCAAATATATTTACTCATTCATTCAAATACATACATTCATTACTATACATTTTCATATGCATTTTACTTTTCATTTGATAATTTTTGCAATCAATTTATATATATATAACAATCTTGGTCTAGTCTTGCACACAGGCAGATGGCTAATAAGAAATCAAATTTAATCCTTTGTGTCCTAAAGTTGTTGTTTTTTTGTCAGATCTAATTTTTTCCATCATGTGATTGTGATCTTCCTCGGACACCTCACAAGCCCTTAACACTTTAATATCAGCAATCAGTCATTTATCTGAGTACGAGGGCGTGTTGAAACCCCAACGGCAGGCTCGGTTTAACAGCTTTGACCAGAGAACAAAGTACAAGAATGAAGACACCAGAGCCAAAAGTTGACCTGCTGGCTGTGCAGCTGAATGTGGAGCTCAAGGCAGTAGAATTGCGTAACTGATTTGTTTGTTTTCTTAAAGCGCCCCAACATTGCACGTTGAGCTTATATAATAATTGCTGATGGTTCTTGTTCTGTAGTGATCAAACGCTCTGTGTCTGATCAAAGCTTTAGCTATGGGTGTTAGATTTCCTTGGATAAAATTACTGCAGTTACTGCAGTCAGCATTGCTTGTTTTTTGTGAGTCCCTCTCTTTCTGTTTCAAAGTTTCTTTCTCTCACATAAACAAACATTCGTTCAGGCTTATTTGCAACTTTTTGCCTCCAGTCACTTTTGATGGCTTTTAATAAAAATCAATCCTTTAAGTGTTACAAAATACAGACAATTTACTCTCTTTCAGACTGTGTTCATAAAATGTGTTCTGTTTACAGCGGCAAGAGCTCGAGACTGAGAATAAGAAGTTGAAGAATGACCTGAACGAGTTGAGGAAAGCGGTGGCCGACAGGGCCTCTGAGAACAACTCATCCAATGAACTTCAAGAGGGCTACAACCTGCTGCTGAATCAGCTCAAAGCGGCCAATGAAGAGCTGGATGTGCGCAAGGAGGAGGTCCTCATGCTCAAGACCCAAATCGTGAACTCCACGAGGCAGTCAGAGAACATAAACCACATTGTGAGTCTGAAAACATCACCACCCCTCAGTCGACATTTTATAAATTTGACTTTTGTGGGCTTCTGATCCAGTTTTTTTTTTACAGCTGTTGTCTTACCAAATGAAGCTATTGTAGTATGTCATCAGACTTTCTAATCCATTAGCATCCCATCAGGCTTCAATGGAGGTGCCTTGAATGGAAAGCTTCTTTATCTTTTATAAAAGCAATCAGACATGGAGACATTGCATGGGATAAGATGGGATATAATGGGCTTTGATGGACCTCAGAGTAATTTAAGTTCAGGGAAAGTTCAGCGTAATAACGATGGTGTGTCTGAGCTTTACAAAACCTGCACTGCTAGTGAAAATGGCTTTACTTGCCTGTCTGAATCTGCTGAGTTTGGCAAATCATTGTCAGCATTGGTTATGCACGAAAAGAAAGCTCTTTTTCTCGTACTTGGCATTATATTTGTGACCCTGGACCACAAAACCAGTCTTAAGTCGCTGGGGTATATTTGTAGCAATAGCCAAAAATACATTGTATGGGTCAAAATTATAGATTTTTTTTTTATGCCAAAAATCATTAGGATATTAAGTAAAGATCATGTTCCATGAAGATATTTTGTAAATTTCCTACCGTAAATATATAAAAACTTCAGTTTTGATTAGTAATATGCATTGCCAAGAACTTCATTTGCACAACTTTAAAGGAGATTTTCTCAATATTTTCATTTTTTTGCTCCCTCAGATTCCAGATTTTCAAATAGTTGTATCACGGATGATGTATAAATCTCAGATGATGTATAAATCTGACTTTTGAAAAATGTACCCTTATGACTGGTTTTGTGGTTTAGGGTCACATTTGTATAACTTTTATGAGTAGCTGAAATGGAGTGTCCATAAGACAAAAAACTATTTTCTTGAAGAATGCTTCAATACATAAAAATATCTGTAAACATACACTTGTTGTTTGCTATTGATATATTTGTTTCATTCAAACAGGACTCCAATGATGTATCAGAATGGACCAACAACAAGAAGCCTGTGGACACTGTTGATGCACCTGATTTAAAGAAGTAAGTCCAATCTACATAATGAAAGGCTTTCATCAGCTCTCCTCCACGTGTTTATTTGTCTTTTTTAATGAAGATTGAATCCAGTGGTATTGACTGTTCATTTGAGTTCAGAGCAGCTCTCTGATTCAGCTCTTGATGCCCTGTCTACTTTCATTTACAGCAGTATATCTCTGTTTTCTGACCCACATTACTGGAGATCTAATCACTTCTCATAAATTAGCATAGTGCTGCCTCAAACAAGCATTCATAGTCTCAAAGCTCATATTTTAAAATGTATCTGCAATATTTCTATCAAATTTATAGACCACCACCACTGGCTCATGGCGAGTTGGAGACAATTTACTGGCCATGCATATTTTTATGCCATGAAACTTTATTTTGCATTCATACAATTTCAAAATTTGTATTCAAAAATAGTTCCTTTTATATTTTTATATTCTGTTGCACTACAGTGTCATGTCTAATGATCTAAAACAAAGATGAGCTTTAAAGATAACAGAGAACATATTTAGTGACGACAGTGATTTTTTATTTCTTGGTAGAAATTGAGTTATAAATTGGAAAAAATTGACTTTTTTTATACTTTCCACTAACTTAGGAACCACACACAGGATTGTGGGATATTATAGACAGCAAATGATACTTCTAAAACCATCTAGATGAAGGGTTTTGCAGTTTTGCTGCAAAACATTGCTACTTCTTAAAGGTAAATTTTAACTAAAAGGTAAATGGTGATTTAAATCACGTCACAACAGTTTGGGGGCACTAAGATATTTTTTTTTTAGATTAATACTTTTATTCAGCAAGTATTCATTAAACGGATCAAACGTGACAGTTAAGACTTTTATAACGCTAACAGGAAATTTATATTTTTAAAAAAACAGTCTCCAAACTTTTAAACGGTAGATCAACGAGGGTCAGTCTACCATTCTCACAGTTTGATTTAAACTATATTTTATATTGCAATTCCAATAAAGTTGCTGACCAGCTGGCAAGTACATTTTTTGTAAACTCGCAAAAGCTACTTTTGCCCCCTTTTGGCACTTACTGAGTGTTTATTTTGGACTCTAAATAGTGTATTAAAAAGGTGCCACAGTACTGTCTATTTAAATTGTCATCTCTGGCTTTTTATCTTTTTACCTCTGGCCAGTGCACTTTTCAGTCTGAACCTTCATACTGTTCTATATCCATCCAGGCTGTTCTGAATTCAGGACACTTTCTCTCTGTCACATTTGTAAAGTGGTCTTTTGAAACCGAGAGTGGCAGATGTTAGATGAGGTACTCATTAACTGTGAAAGAATACATTTTCGTACTCTGTGGTCTCAGGACTGAGCACTTTAAACAGCAGCTGATTTCTCATGCATGCGTTTTTCCTTCTTTCTCTATTTCTCATTTCCTTTGAGTGCCACATCTCCTTACAGACATTGCTTGGGCAGGCAGCTCACCTAAAAAAAACTGAAACATTATATCCCCAAGAAATAGCCAAAGTCATAGCAGCTACATGACCTCTTTACTTGAAAATAACATGGATGAAATGGAGATGGGTAATTCAGATGAGCCCTCATGCTCAAACTGATGTCTACACAGACTAATCTAACCTGCCATGCCTTGCTTTGCTTCACTAACTGGCCCTACCATCTTGTCATTCTTCTCTTTTGCTTTCTCTCCTGTCTGTCTGCTGCCGCTTCTCTGTCTCTTTGGCTCTCCGTTACTCGGATGCCAGTAAAGCACAAGACTGGGGTTATTTGAATGAAGATGGGGAGCTTGGCCTGGCCTACCAGGGTCTAAAGCAAGTTGCCAGGTTGTGCTTTAAATTTCTTGGATTTCCCTCCAGGTTTAACTCTCGGTTTCGATTTCGAGGCCTCTGTTTTTGTTTTTCAACCAGTAAAGGACCATCGGGCATATATTGACTCTTGTCATTTTGAGAAGTGTTTTGAGGACTAACTGAAGTATATAGACAGTTTACACTCACTTATACTATAGTGTGGCATGTTTGGATGTGTTCAGGCTGCTGGAGGCCCAGCTTCAGACGAAGTCTCGACAGCACAAGGATGAGTTAGAGGCTCTCCACACGCAAATCGAACTGCTGAAGGACAGTCTGGAGAAGAAGCAGGAAATGCTGGACCACTTTTCTACACTTTCTCCTGAAGCTCTGGTGGAGTTCAGCGTGCAGCAGGAGATCACGCGCCTCACCAATGAAAACCTAGTGAGACCTTATCTTAAGTATCATTTTTGTAATCAGTATTATTGTCTTATTTATTATTAGTATTTTATTTATTTATAATTTAAAAATGTCCTTTAAACAAGATCAATAGTATTTTCAGAGAATTGATTTTGAATTAAGCATGTTTTTTCTTACCTTATTGGCTAATTGTTTGTGTTGCTTTAAGCATAAATCTCTTAATTATGTTAGATTTATGGTAAAACAAATAAACTTGCCATTGGTATAAGAAAAATAAAACAAGCAATCTCAAAAAAAAAAATGTTTGTAGTCAGTTTTGCTAAAACATATCTTGTTGTAAGAATATTTACATATTTTGACTTGAAAACAAAACAATTATTTTTCAATGAGCCTTCAAACTATTAGCCATTGGTTCAAAAAGAGCTGTAAAGTATCATTATACCCAACACACAATATTGACATTCTCACTCAAGTTGATGATTGTTCTCTAGGATCTAAAGGAACTTGTCGAGAAGTTGGAGAAGAATGAGAAGAAGCTGAAGAAGCAGTTGAGGATCTATATGAAAAAAGTGCAAGAGCTGGAAGGTTATACATCTGCCTATCATCTGTGTATTGAATGTTTTCTCGTGGTACCGCTATTTTCTGATGTGCTGTTGTTCTTCATACAGTGTCTCAGGCCACTAGGAGCAGCAGACCAGAGCTGACTCGTCAGGTCACTGTACAGAGGAAAGACAAGGACTTTGAAGGCATGCTGGAGTACTACAAAGAAGATGAGGCTTTATTGGTCAAGTCATTAATTACAGGTATGTGTGGTTACATGCAGGCATGTTTTAATGTGGAGGTCCTGTAGCTGTGATAAACACACAGGTCTTGTCTTTAGATATGAAGCCCAATGTGTTGTCCGCCACTGTCCCCTGCCTTCCTGCCTACATCCTCTTCATGTGTATCCGTCATGCTGACTACATCAACGACGACCAGAAAGTTCATTCACTCCTTACCACAACCATCAATGCCATCAAAAAGGTCCTGAAGGTGTGTATACTGTATGTAATCACATCAACACACTCCCAGAATTCAAACCAGCTACACTACTCAGGCATTTGGTTTTTTTAAAGATAAATTAATACTTTTATTCAGCAATGATGTATTAAATTGATTAAAAGTTTCAATAAAGGCATTTATAATGTTTCTAAAATGTTCTATTAACATAAATGCTTTTCAGCAAATAATCCTGGAAAATACGTATTATGGTTTCCACCACATTATTAAGCAGCACAACTGTTTTTCAACATTGATAATAATAAAGAAAAGTTTTTTGAGCACCAAATCAGCGTATTACAATGATTTCTGACAGATTATGTGAAACTGAAGACTGGAGTAATTGCTGCTGAAAATTCAGCTTTGCCATTACAGGAAAAAATGACATCAGAATCAGAATATATAAATATTATATGTTAGAATATATAAAATAGAAAACAGTATTTTAATTAAAATAATATTCCATCATTCCTGTTTTTTTTTTTAATCTTCTCTCCAGAGAAACAGCGATGACTTTGAGATGACCTCCTTCTGGCTGGCAAATACCAGTCGACTTCTGCATTGTCTGAAGCAGTACAGCGGGGATGAGGTGAGATTTTACTGTGGCTATTTTATCTTGTCCAGTGATGATTTCAGCTGCAAATATAAGAGTCAGTTCCATGTACTGTATTTTAACATATTAAGTACAGATAATCCATGAAAAGTGTGTTTTAAGCCTCTGGCGACCCCGTCTAGATCACTGGTATGATTTGGCTGTTGCTTCCTGTCATAGGCGTTTATGATGCAGAACATTGCCAAGCAAAACGAGCACTGCCTGAAGAACTTTGACCTGGCTGAGTATCGGCAGGTTCTGAGTGACCTTTCCATCCAGATCTATCAGCAGCTCGTCAGAATAGCGGAAGGCATCATGCAACCCATGATTGGTGGGTACAAAGAGACACCGGACCAATATAAACTCTAATAATGGAATTGTTTGCAATATTTCATAATGAATGCATGTTTTTTGTATTTGATTTTGGCAGTTTCTGCCATGCTTGAGAGCGAGAGCATCCCCAGCCTGGCCGGAGTGAAGCCCATGGGCTACAGGAACCGCTCCTCTAGTTTGGACTGTGAGAGTGGAGGTCCAGCGGGCTACACACTGCAGGCCCTGGTCAAGCAGCTGGGACAGTTTTACACCATCATGGCGGACCACGGCCTGGACCCTGAGATCAGCCAGCAGGTGGTTCGCCAGCTCTTCTACTCCATCAATGCAGTGACCCTGAACAACCTGCTGCTGCGCAAAGATGTCTGTTCTTGGAGTACCGGCATGCAGCTCAGGTACACATTTGATGCTCTCAGGCAAATCCGTGGCTGTGTTATATCTTCAGAAATGTCTGATGAATTGAATGGCCGTCTCATTGGTGTCGTTTCAGATACAACATCAGTCAGTTGGAGGAATGGCTGAGAGGAAAGAATCTGCACCAGAGTGGAGCCGTAGCCACCATGGAACCTGTTATCCAGGCCGCCCAGCTGCTGCAGGTGAAGAAGAAGACCTCCCAAGATGCTGAGGCCATTTGCTCGCTCTGTACCGCCCTCAGCTTACAGCAGGTAGACATTTGCCATTCATTCTTTCTTTATTAATTATTTTTTATTTTCATTGACTTTTCATTGACTTAATCATGCTATTCTACTTCACCTCAGATTGTGAAGATCCTCAACTTGTACACGCCACTCAATGAGTTTGAGGAACGAGTGACTGTGTCTTTCATAAGAGACATACAGGTAAACTACATACATACACACTATGGACATACACTTGCTAGGGTGTACCAAAATTTGAGTAGTCCGTACCAAAATCAGTAAAACTCTTTTACCACAACAAAAATTATATTCTGCTGAACACACTCATACCTAAAAAGTTTAATATGAACTGATTCAGTATATAATTAATAAGTAATTTCATTTATTTAATAGATATATTATAGATTCATATTATACACCATTGTTCAAAAGTTTGTGGTTGGTTAGGTTTATGTTTTTGAAAGAACTCTCTTATGTTCAGTGTCCAAGGCTGCATTAATTTGATCATTGTGAAATATTATTAGTTTAAAATAACCGTTTGAATATATTTTCAAATGTAATTTATTTCTGTGATGCCAAGCCTGAATTTTCAGCATCCATTACTCCAATCTTCAGTGTCACATGATCCTTCAGAAATCATTCTAATATGCTGATTTGCTGCTCAAGAACCAATTCTTGTTATTATCATGTTGAAAACAGTTGTGCTGCTTAATATTTTTGTGGAAACTTTTCAGGATTCTTTAAATAAAAAGTTCAGCATTTATTGAATAGACAGAACAGCATTATTTCTTTACTGTCATTTTTGATTAATGCATTCTTGCTGAATAAAAATATTAATTATTATTAATAATAATGATAATATGTTATTATTTTATATATTTATATATTATTATTATTATATTATATTATATTGTTATAAAGTTATTATTGTCGTGTTACTGAAAAATCTGTATTTTCTGCAGTGTTTGATGGCTTCTTCATGAGCATGTCCAATAAATACTCTCATTTCCTTTCACAGAATCGCCTCCAAGATCGTATAGAAAACAACCAACTACTGGTAGACACTAAGTACACCTTCCCTGTGCTCTTCCCCTACACTCCATCAGTGCTCAGTCTGGAAAGCATACACATCCCTGCCTCCCTCAGCCTGGACTTCCTCACACGGGTCTGACATCTCAGTCTCTCGGTCTCACTCTGAGCTCTACCTGCAGCGGGCCCTTCGCAGATCTGCTAACCCACATACTAACACCACCATACGTATGGGATTTATAGTATCCACATTTAACAAGACGGACAATCTCCCTGACTGACTAACTGTGGTGTTGAGACACGCTTTCAATAAGGGGGATACGAAGTCTAAATGATGCAGGTGTAAATAAGCTTTGACTTTTCTTCTATAACATTCAACCAGTTCTCTCTAGGCTCCCATTTAATAGAATCAAGGCTATTGTTATAGAAAGTTAAAACACTATATTTGGATTGGGATGTGTTTGTCTGTGACTAATTCTTATGATTAAATAAGTTTAATCTAAATTAAATAAAAGGGTTTTGGGCTACTGACATGAAAAACTAATGTGAGATGTATGTGTCCGTACTCATGTATCTGTATTAGTATGCACTGATTTCTTTGTGTTTGTAATGGAAAAGTGTCTTATTTCCCTTGCTTGTGCTGGAGCACGGTTTCATCTCAGAAACGTGGGCTCCCACTGAAGCAACATCACCATCTCCATTTTTTTTTTTCTAAGAGAACTTTTAAAATTGGCTGCCAAGATTAATTCTCGCAACCTCTAGCAAAAAGAAGCAGGAGATCTCTGCATTGCAGTTGCTCTTGCCTGTGACCAATCTGGATTGGACTCTCTGAACAGGGTCTTTTTAAGCTTTTTTTTCTCCCCACGTGTTGAAGAAACGGATGCGGAGACTTGGGACCCTGAATGACAGGGCCAGCAAATGTGGCAGATCATGAAAGTGACCATGACCAGTTGAAGGATGTGGAGCGATGAGGATGATGAAGGAAGTTTGACCTGGGATATTTCATATTCTGTCGAAATAAATAATCCTGTGATTGTTGGTGGAATCTAGAATGTGCTGGAAGGCATGTGCAAGTACTGTATAATGAAGAAATGTATCTTAAGAGGCGTCCTATACACTGAGATGAGTTTTATGGTGTACAGAAAAGACATTCTCAAAACTACCAGGTTACTATTTAATGAAGGCAAGCAATTATCAGAATTAAATTTATACTTTTGCACAGCTCTGTAAATGATTACATGCAATCAAATAGCAATAACTACGCACTGTTTACTTAAAGTACAATTTTATACAATCTCAACAATTTCTCCCTCATTTTGTATGTTGCCAACAGACTGGGCTGTTCTGCTAGAATAGTGCATCATGTCAATTCAGGATACTCTATTTTGTTTCAAAGAGGTAATTCTAATCTTTTAGTTTTAGGTTTCAAAATGTATACTAAACTGTAAAATTCTCATGTATTGCACTTTCTGGATTGAAATAGTTCTTTCAATGCCAATAAAGTAAAAACTGTCAATTTTCATAGTTATATTCTTGTATACGTGACGTGACATGTGGCCAAGTATGGTGACCCATACTCGGAATTAGTGCTCTGCATTTACCCATCCAAAGTGCACACACACAGCAGTGAACACACACACACCTGGAGCAGTATATTGTATATTTTTTTACTATTCATTTTACATTGACCATAATGACTTTTCATGCCACAGTCTTGGTTTTTATGTTTTAAGGATTGTTTTTATTTTTTACTGCCCTCTACCGACCATATTTGTAACCTCTTATCTAGAGTTGCGTCAGAGCAGGGTCTTTGTCTTATTGCTTTTAAACTCCTGATACATCTGAGTTAGAAATTATGTATATATTTCATATATAGTTTCTTTTTTTCAGTGACACTCAAACAGTAAGTAGGATTTTGCACACTCGCACATGTTTACATGCTATTTGTAGCATGAAGTACACTTTTTAAAGCAGATCACACCACCACTGTCACACAGTTTGTTCAAGCTTTCACATTCCTTAATTATAACTTCGATAAAACACGCACATGAACACATCATTTATACCATAAGTTACAGTTAATAATACTAAATGAAGTCTTGTGATTAAAGATCACGGCTAAGGGATGTTGTTAGTTACAAGCAGCAGGGTCTACCTTATTACTTTTATAACAATAGTATTATTTTTTACTTCAATAGCTGTATTATTGACATTATTTTGTTCCTTAAAAATCTGAGTAGCTCTGTCCCCGCACTCCTGGATCTCATTGAAACTTTTGGAAAAATATCTGGATATGAAGTTAATCACTCCAAATCATCTATAATGTTACTTAATGAATCAGAGAGGAAAAATAACCAAGATTTTGCTTCTATCTTCAATTCAACAGATAATTTTACATATCTGGGTATAAAAATTGTTCATTTACATTTAGTCATTTAGCAGACGCTTTTATCCAAAGCGACTTACAATAAAAGCAGTCAAAACTAACAAAAGAGCAACAATATATAAGTGCAAATGACAAGTTTCGATTAGCTTAACGCAGTACACATAGCATGGTGTATATATATATATATATATATATACACACAGTATCTCACAGAAGAGAGTACACCCCTCACATTTTTGTAAATATTTTATTATATCTTTTCATGTGACAACACTGAAGATATCTGGGTATAAAAATTGTTCATTTACATTTAGTCATTTAGCAGACGCTTTTATCCAAAGCGACTTACAATAAAAGCAGTCAAAACTAACAAAAGAGCAACAATATATAAGTGCAAATGACAAGTTTCGATTAGCTTAACGCAGTACACATAGCATGGTGTATATATATATATATATATATATATACACACAGTATCTCACAGAAGTGAGTACACCCCTCACATTTTTGTAAATATTTTATTATATCTTTTCATGTGACAACACTGAAGAAATGACACTTTGCTACAATGTAGTGTGTGTACAGCTTGTATAACAGTGTAAATTAACTGTCCCCTCAAAATAACTCAACACACAGCCATTAATGTCTAAACCGCTGGCCACAAAAGTGAGTACACCCCTAAGTGAAAATGTCCAAATTGGGCCCAATTAGCCATTTTCTCTCCCCGGTGTCATGTGACTCATTAGTGCTACAAGGTCTCAGGTTATGAATGGGGAGCAAGTGTGTTAAATTTGGTGTTATCGCTCTGACTCTCTCATACTGGTCACTGGAAGTTCAACATGGCACCTCGTGGCAAAGATCTGAAAAAAAGAATTGTTGCTCTACATAAAGATGGCGTAGGCTATAAGAAGATTGTAGAGGCACATAACTCTGAAGTAATGAATTTAGGTAAATGGGTACAGAGCCAGTGGAGGTTTTGTAGGCAAACATTAATGCCTTGAATTTAATGCGAGCAGCTACTGGTAGCCAGTGCAAATTGATGAACAGAGGTGTGACATGCGTTCTTTTTGGCTCATTAAAGATTAATCTTGCAGTGGTATTTTAGATTAATTGTAGAGGTTTGATAGAAGTGGCTGGAAGATCATTTGCATTGCAATAGTCCAGCCTGGATAGAACAAGAGCTTGAACAAGGAGTTGTGTTGCATGTTCTGAAAGAAAGGGCCTGATCTTCCTTATGTTGTATAAAGCAAATCTGCAGGAACGGGTAGTTTTAGCAATGTGGTCTGAGAAATTCAGCTTATCGTCAATCACAACTCCAAGGTTTCTAGCTGTTTTTGAAGGAGTTGTGGTTGATGAGCCTAACTGGATGGTGAAATTTTGATAAGGTGATGGGTTTGGACATGTCACGCCCCCACATGTCTAAGTCAGGATGTGGGAAGATTTGCATAACGCCGCCCAAATGTTCACGCAAAGAAAGATGGCGTAACTTTTATTCTTGCTGTAGTATTGTTGCTGCCAGAACAGTTCAACTCAAATGTTCAGATGTGTGCTGCGCATTTTATGGAGGATGGATGAGGTTAGCTTAACGCAGTACAGTAGCAAGGTTTATATATATTATACACACACACACACACAAAGGCTGTTTCTATAAAGTGGGCAGTTACAACTTTGCAAGGACAGTCTGGCGCTTCTGACTCACAGCCTGTAAGTACGTTTTTTATATTTAAATAATTTGCCAATGATGATTAAAACGTGAGTTTTGAGCAGTGTAGAGTAGCGTTTGTTGTTTCTCTGATCACAAATGCAGACATGGTTTTGTTTACATGATACGCAATGCGTAAAAAGACAGTATAAGTCATTATAATCAGTAATTATGTCCCCACTGGATGCAACAAATGCCTCGTTTGTTTTTGTCTCTTCTAGTGTTCGGTTCGCGCACGAATCGTTCTATTTAACCGGATCTTCTTAGTGAACCAGTCGAACCAGTTCACCAAATTGAACTGAATCGTTTGAAACGATGCAGGTCTCCAGTACGCACTAATCCACAAATTACTTAAATTATTCGGTTTATAAACGTGCCTGACACTCCCTCTGACGCGAAATAAACCAATATCCCGAGTTATTCAGTTACTCCTAACAGATTTATTTCCAGAACATGATGCATGATGGGATTCACTAAGCCTCGAATAGCGCTCCGGAGCGGTATTCAAGATAGTGTGGATTTAGTGTGCGTTAAGGGCACTGCGCTCTGGCGTTTTTAAGACCTGGGACAGTCTTGCACACTTACTTCCTGTCGCGCGCACGCGCTCTCAAGTGGCCAAGACCGCAAGTGTGGGTATTTGTAGAGTTAGAGGGTCAAATAAAGGTGGAACAGATGTGTTTTTAGTAGTTTCTTGAAGATGGCCAAGGACTCAGCTGCTCGGATTGAGTTGGGCAGGTCATTCCACCAGGATGGAACAGTTAATGTAAAAGTCTGTGAAAATGATTTTGTGCCTCTTTGAGATGGCACAATAATGCGTCGTTCACTTGCAGAACGCAAGCTTCTAGGGGGCACATAACTCTGAAGTAATGAATTTAGGTAAAGGGGTGCAGAGTCAGTGGTGGTTTTGTAGGCAAACATTAATGCCTTGAATTTAATGCGAGCAGCTACTGGTAGCCAGTGCAAATTGATGAACAGAGGTGTGACATGCGTTCTTTTTGGCTCATTAAAGATTAATCTTGCAGTGGTATTTTAGATTAATTGTAGAGGTTTGATAGAAGTGGCTGGAAGATCATTTGCATTGCAATAGTCCAGCCTGGATAGAACAAGAGCTTGAACAAGGAGTTGTGTTGCATGTTCTGAAAGAAAGGGCCTGATCTTCCTTATGTTGTATAAAGCAAATCTGCAGGAACGGGTAGTTTTAGCAATGTGGTCTGAGAAATTCAGCTTATCGTCAATCACAACTCCAAGGTTTCTAGCTGTTTTTGAAGGAGTTGTGGTTGATGAGCCTAACTGGATGGGTTTGGACATGTCACGCCCCCACATGTCTAAGTCAGGATGTGGGAAGATTTGCATAACGCCGCCCAAATGTTCACGCAAAGAAAGATGGCGTAACTTTTATTCTTGCTGTAGTATTGTTGCTGCCAGAACAGTTCAACTCAAATGTTCAGATGTGTGCTGCGCATTTTATGGAGGATGGATGAGGTTAGCTTAACGCAGTACAGTAGCAAGGTTTATATATATTATACACACACACACACACAAAGGCTGTTTCTATAAAGTGGGCAGTTACAACTTTGCAAGGACAGTCTGGCGCTTCTGACTCACAGCCTGTAAGTACGTTTTTTATATTTAAATAATTTGCCAATGATGATTAAAACGTGAGTTTTGAGCAGTGTAGAGTAGCGTTTGTTGTTTCTCTGATCACAAATGCAGACATGGTTTTGTTTACATGATACGCAATGCGTAAAAAGACAGTATAAGTCATTATAATCAGTAATTATGTCCCCACTGGATGCAACAAATGCCTCGTTTGTTTTTGTCTCTTCTAGTGTTCGGTTCGCGCACGAATCGTTCTATTTAACCGGATCTTCTTAGTGAACCAGTCGAACCAGTTCACCAAATTGAACTGAATCGTTTGAAACGATGCAGGTCTCCAGTACGCACTAATCCACAAATTACTTAAATTATTCGGTTTATAAACGTGCCTGACACTCCCTCTGACGCGAAATAAACCAATATCCCGAGTTATTCAGTTACTCCTAACAGATTTATTTCCAGAACATGATGCATGATGGGATTCACTAAGCCTCGAATAGCGCTCCGGAGCGGTATTCAAGATAGTGTGGATTTAGTGTGCGTTAAGGGCACTGCGCTCTGGCGTTTTTAAGACCTGGGACAGTCTTGCACACTTACTTCCTGTCGCGCGCACGCGCTCTCAAGTGGCCAAGACCGCAAGTGTGGGTATTTGGACAAGGGGTGTATCACAGTATGTTAAGGGCGTAACATTTCTGTCACACGCTTGAGGTATTCGGCCAATCACAACGCACTGGATAGCTGGCCAATCAGAGCACACCTCGCTTTTTTTTAGAACAATGAGCTTTGTAATAATCGACGCGTTTCAGAAAGGCGGCGCATAGAGGAGAAACAATAATGTACAGTATGTGGAAAATAATGTCTTTTTTAAACCTTAAACTGCATAAACACATTGCATTACACCAAATTGTTACGTATGTTTTATTGTAATATATATATATGTATATATATATATATATATTTGTTCGCAAAACCAATAGTTTGACTTTTTTTATTTACAATTGTTGCAATTTTTACTATTATTTTTGCCAATAGGCAACAAACTAGTTGTACAATATAATATAAATTAACTAAGAACATTACACACATGCACATATGTAGTATCAAATTATTGCTATATAAATGTAATTTTTTTAAACGTTATAATTGTTACTTTTTTATTTTTCGCTGTTTCATAAAGGTTTATGTTTAATAATTGTTTTACTGTTTACATTTTTATACAGTTTTTTAAAATTATTATTATTATTTAAATTTTTAAAGATTAGATGCTTTTAGGTGGATTTGACCAAAAATGTGTAGCCTTCAAATTAAATGCTTCAGCATTCACATTGAAATAAACTGGTCACAAATGACCTTTGTCCACATTAGGAGGAGAAGATCTGAATCACCACATTGATTACCAGAGAAAGCACATGTTTTCTGCCAGTTTCAACACATAATGCTGATTTCTTTTAGGGTTATCAGTGTTGCCACACATTCATTTATGTGGTTACACGATGGGTCAAAATCCGAATCAACAATGTGTATCAACAATGATCAGAAACACTTGTAGAGTCATCCCGTGAAGATCTTGCTCATGTAGCACTGTGATTTTGGAAGGTTGAAACTTTAATTTTTGGAAATTCTTTGAATCAAATCTTTTTTTCATTTGCATTTGAGACTTCATGAATCATAACCAAAGGCCACTCTCCTCTGTAGGTACAGCAAATATTTAGATTTACAGCTGGGTAACCACAGTCTCTCCACAACACAATCACACTAATATAGACAACAGGAAATGATTGTTGTGTATCTGCAAGATTTCTAATTGAAATCAGTCATTAGTTCATGCAAGTTTCAGGAGCCTTTAAATGTGCATGATATTTTTAAAAGCACAATCTGCAGTAATTTATGGCAGGATTAATTTAAACGACTTGTAGTATCAACCTTCTGTGTCATTCTGTTGTAGACATTAATCCAGTTTTGTCTGTGACTTGAACACTTTGTTTACAGGAGAAGAGATAGCAGCTTAGATTGACGATGTGCTGGCCTCATTTTTACATAAACCCATTTGCTAGAGGCGACAGGAAGTGGGTTGTAATATGTTACCACTTGTTTTTGTTTTTTAGATTGAAGGTATGTGCTGATAGAGGACTTTTTCATTTCATCTTTACCTGCACTTCTTGCAAATAGTCTGTAAGCAATGCCTGAAAATCTAAAAGAGAAAAAAACATGACAAACATTTTTGGTAATGTTACTGGAAATATTGTCTAAATATTAACAATAATAATTAATAATAATGATTATTATTACTATAAAAAAAATGTCATACATTAAACTGAATCTAATTCAATCTCTGATATGTTCTAGTATAAACAAATATTACAGTGTTTTGTTGTTGTTACACGCTTTATTTCTCTTTATTTAACAAGAGGAAGTAAGCATGTCTCCCTTTTTCAGGCATCAGTTTCATTCCAACAACCAAAATGTTTGCAACAGTTTTGTTTCAGTCAAACCCACAACCTCTGTCTGCTTTGGTCTCTCATTTGACCTAAATAAAGTGCTGACTGTTCTCCTTTAAGATGCTAAACTTGATGTAACTGCTATAACAGCTGTTACGTATAGTAAAGAGTGGTGGTCCTCAACTAGTGGGTGGCAATCCAAAAATGTGTCGCGGGTTTGTTCAAATCCGGTTGCAGATAGAAACAACAATGAATTAAATAAACATACATAGGACAGCAAAACCCATATGCCTTTTGTTGCTGATGTCAAAGACCACATCGAATCAAACTACAGTATTTTGTCAAAAATGTATCCTCACTTGGTTATTTGGGTAATATGCCCTTGCTGTGTATGCTTTTTCCAAATTGCCAATTTTCATGTAGTCATGTTAAAAATGTCTAATTTTGCTTAGCCTGTCATGTAAATTTCATATGTGATTGTATGGGCATTTTATTTATTTCTTTTCTAACTTTTGTATGCTAAACAGTTTTGGTACTGTGTTGGGTCACCACTTGTCCAAAGTGAAAGTCCGGGTCCTGCTCAAGTTGACAATTTTACTGTCGAAGTTACTTAAAACATGTATGTAATTTTTTAACGACTAACCATTGCTTACGACCAACTATCATAAGTGCACGGGTTACAATGCACTTGCATTATGGACTCACAGAGTTGGATTTTTTCTTAAAAATATTTAAGTCATACGATAAAAGAAACTTTTTTGGTGGACTATTGGTCTTTTTTTTTTTTTTTTGTAATATTGCACTCCAGTAGCTACCACATAATGTACCCAGTCACTACTGATACTGTAACAGGAACTACTCAAAGGATAGACATATTCTGTATATTATATACTTGTGCATTTTTATATTGAGCAATTTATGTATATTATGATGAGCATGCTGTGCATTACATGTAGCCTACAATGTGCAGTAAGTGTTTTGTGGGTTCTGGTCTTTCCTGTCACAACATAACTGATCCAAGACTTTCACTTTCACTTGTGCATATGCTGTAGTGATAATAATGTCAGTATAACTGAATAAAGTCGTATTTTTGTAAAAGTCACAAATAAAACCGTGTTGGTAATTGTTAAAATATGTATTTCCTATTTTAAATATTAGAAAATAATGTTCAACTAAATAAAATTAACCTCAAGATAAAAACAATTATCAACAAAAATATTCTTTGTGTAAATGTAATACACTGGAAAGTCTAAAGCCTACCATTAGGCCTGTAGAATTAAACCTCCCTAGACTTTCATTTTGATCTCTCACGCAGACAAATACTGCTCCTGAAAGCTCATGTAGACCAGTATAAGTTAAATACAGATAAAAAAAATCTCAGATCTTTATGTCACTAAAATGAGATAGGAAGCCGCTTACAGATTCTGACTCGCACTAGTAACAACACAACACTGACGTCTTCACATCCAGGCTGAGAAGCTGTCAATCAAAAAATCCCCAGCCAATGAGAACCCACCGCTGCTAGCCCCGCCCCCCACGAGGGATTTGTGCCAGAATGCCAAACGAAAGCCCAGCGAGAGTACACGAAAACTTCAGATGCATAAATGAACATTCTGACAGTGCATTTGAAAATTCAATTCGGCGAAAGAAAGAAGAGAAAAACAGTTAGCAAAGCATGCAGTGTATTCAAATACGAAGTCAAAGATTTTGCCTGCGATTTTTTTCCCCACAGACATTCATTTATTCATTTTCAATTTAGATTTTCATTAGTTTCTTGAGAAGTTACGTTCAAAATTAAAGGCGCAAATCTGATTCCATAAAGGGGGGTGGAGTTAAGGTGGAAAGGAAGCAAGAAAAGGAAACACAAATAAGAAAAGAGACGCGCTCTCTTTATCTCTGCTCTCTCTCTCTCTCTCTCTCTTCCTCTGTCCTCTGAAAGTACCACTGTGAGCTGTCACTTGTCAGTAGTGTGTGAGTAATGAAGACGTGAGTGATCTATGCCTGTACTGCTGGATCAGAGATGGCGGGTGTTTTGTGGATGCTCTTAGTTGTTTTCTGTCCTTTGGTTCTGTCTGAGAGTGGAGATGATGGTGAGTAATTTGAGAGTTTAGACTGTAAATAATAAACTGAGAATCCACAGATTATTATTATTTTCTTTTTTTTTTATATGTTTTCAATGGGAGTGGTTATGGTGGACTGCAAATGCAGCTAGACTGTATATCTAGTGACATGATTATGATCATAAAGAGATGACTTTGACAGTAAATTCATGTGAAACCATTTAGGCTAGTTTTCATTGAAGCACACTAACATAAGGTGGAGACTTAAAGGTGACTAGAAATTTTTTTCGTTTTTTTTTGTTTTACTCTTGGTTCCTTTTAGATGGGTCTGATAAAGATGTGACCTGCACATCCACTTTGACCCTCAACCAAAGTAACCTCACCTGCTCGCTCAACGACGAATCCACTGAGGAGGTCATCTTCACGAGACTCTGGTATTTAGTCTGTCTGTAAATGAATACAAACCGTTTCTGTCACTAGAGCGTTTGAATATAATGTGAAACAAATGTTTGCTCAAAACCCTGATGTTGACTAAACTGGTTGACTTTTTCCTGTTTAGCAAAATGGAAGGTTTAAAAAAAGTGTGTACAAATGCTACTTCCGGACCACGAGACATTACCTTTAAGAATTTGATCGTTTCAGCAAGATACGTGCTACAAATAGGAGACGAGGTTTTTGAAAATATCGACCTGTCAAAAATTGGCAAGTCTATCTATCTATCTATCTATCTATCTATCTATCTATCTATCTATCTATGTCTGTTCCCTGTCTGTCAGTCTTTCTAATGTGTCTTTGGCTTTGCAGTCAAAATCCCAGCTCCTGTAATTAAGCTTGCCACTTACATGGAAGACACAGAAGAAGTTTTCATATGGTTTGAACACAGTCATGAATATGTTATCAATCCTAAATTCGAATTGGAAATCTGGGGGGACAAACTTGACAAGGTGATTCTGACAATTTGTTTGTTAGACTTGATCTTTCCTAAAAAATAATTTTGAGTTCATTTAACAAATAAACATGTGAATTTAACAAATGAAACCTATGTTTTCTTGCTCTACAGCCCATTAGTCCCACTATAAAATATAGGAACTTCAGTATCAGCAGGGACAGACTTGGTGGAGATGGTGTTTACAACACACGTGTTAGAGCAAAACCTGTGGAGTTTTTTGATGGCAACTGGAGTGAGTGGAGTTCTAATGCCAGTTTCACTATAAAAAGTGAGTGGATCTGACTGGAGATCAGATGTCTGTTACATGAGAAGATACTACTGTTACTGTTGTACTATGTTAAGTATGATAAACACTCCTTGTTGGGACTTGTTTGCTCATTATTGGGTTGTTGATGAATCAAATAGCTTTAGGATTTAAAAAATGTGGAAAAACATTTGAACCTTTATTAATCATGTCTGATCAATTGTGATGCTGGAAATGATGGCAGGTTCTACAATTACTACCACAGAAAAGAATTTTGATCTTCCAAAGGTCGGTTACGTCATCACCTTCTTTGTCGTTCTGGTACTCATCATTGGTTTGGGGACCTTGCGGTGGAGAACACAGTGAGTGTTTTACCTTATTAAAAAAAAAACCCACAAGAAGCTATTTTATTATTTTTTAAAGCATGTACTATTTGTTTTCTCACCAAGCATAAAAGACTACATTACACCAAACATCCCACACCCGAAGGCAACTCTTGCACAAATGCACAGGGTAATTCAATTTATCATGTGTGTTGTTGCTTCATTGAGGTTGTGCAAGATTAAACACGGGAGACTCCGCGTCCTCATACAGACTGTTTTTATGTTTTCAGGGTCTTCCTTTCACTTTCAGTCCTGAGATATTCAGCGATGTCTTCATACACCGTGTGGATTACGTCGATGAAAAGCCATCTGCTCCCGAGCCTCAAGATGGCCTGGATGAGCACCGCTACAGTCAAGCCAGTTCCTCAAGCACATCAGTGAGTGAAATGGACATGAAAGCAGATGAATGGCTTCCAAGAGATCAGTCTCATCTTAAAATTAGACTGTTAGACGAACCAGATTTGTTGAAAGAAAGAGAAAGTGGCAGCTCTCAAAGCACAACGGCCCCTCGACGAGAATGTAAAGATGAAGCCTATGTCACTATGTCCAGCCTTTTCAAAACACAATGAAGAGACTGTCTTAAGTCAATTCCAGTTCACTCATGATTTTACAGACCCTTGGTTTGTATATGATAAAAGGTTAACTGAGATTGTATATGATGCATTTAATAACCCAATAAGCCTGTTACATATATATGAGGTGCTTTTACACATCGCTAATCATGTCCAGTTTGTAACTCTGATGCTTACCAAGTTTGTACATATCATAACAGTCATCCACAGGTTTCATTTTCAACCAAGCATCGTGCACAGCTGTGGTCTCCATTTTGGTAGCCAATTTCCTTCGGAATGTTTCAGAAACACAGGCATTAAGAGTTATAAGAAATAGAGAAATCCACATTTCTGAAGTCATCACACATCTACTCAGACCTCATGTAACTGCTGCTAGTCTCAGTATCCTCTGCAAGACATTTATCCATGTATATTTTCATCTGTAAATATACCTGAGTAAAGCTGAGAGGTTAACAGAGGTTCTGTTAACCTCACGCACAACTTTCAAACCTAATACACACAGTTCAAGTGGCACTTTTTCAATGATTATAGGACTTATTTATAATGATCAGAAGAAATATTTTCTGTGTATATTAAAAAAACAACTGCTTGTAATGTTAATTTTGTAATACAATTCAGCTGTAGCCTATATATATATATATATATATAGTTATCTATATTAAACAGATGTGTAATAAAGGAATTTATAAAAAAAACAAGCATAACCGTAGAATATATTTTCACATTTCATGTGAATCATCTGAAGAGACTTTTAATTTTTATAACCATTATAAAACATTTATTAAATGAGTTACATTTTGTAAAATAGCATCTGCCATAGCGTACATAAATAAATCTGAATTACAAGACTTTCATGTATCACTAAATATGACACTGTTTTCAGCTCAAATATGATACCGTGATTTTACCCTAAAAATCAGTTACCACTGATAAAGCTCACACATTTTACACATAATGTAGGCTTCTACCGTACTCCTATTATTTGATTTTCCAGATTCATTGTTAATATCCTTAAAACTAATTTCAGTACTGTCAGCTTTATTAAGACTAACATGCTTTGATTTCACAAGTGCAATTTGTTTAAAAGCACAACTCCTCATAACTTCCATGTAGTCTTCATCATTAAAATAAAATATACATCATTATCAATAGAAGTGCTGACTCAACTGTAATAGTTCCAAAATTCATCTTTTGTCACCTGTAAATGGAAAAGAGAAAACTGTTATAAAACAAACTGGTAGCCTTTTCAGAGACCCTCACCACCAAAACCACATAGCAGAAGGATAAACCCAACCCGGAAGGAAAGAGAAAAATTTCGGAGTGAATTAATCACAAACATAATTTGTATTTGAATTTTTGAGTGGGTCTTCAGAAAGGTCTTCATCAGACACCAAAGGTAAACATGCCATCTTATTTTAGACTCAACCCTGTCGAAACTGTGCCATTTCCTTTTAAGCTCTCATGTGCTCAGAATGTGTGTATATACTTTTTATCAACTTTAATATATATATATGAAAGTTTATAATGAAATAAAATATATTATGAAATGATTAACAGGGTCAAGACATACTTTTGCTGAAAGTTGAACGTCTTTACCCAAAAATAGATGTTTTAGAAGTTTAGTCAAGCTTCCATGCATTTTTCATCATTACAATAAAGTAGATATCTGTGTCAATGGATGCACTCACGCCGGAGTAGTAGTTCAAAAACTCTCTTGTGACCTGATGTGTGAAGACAGCATGATCAAAGAGAATACTTCAGAAAATGACTTGTAATGACGCCATCGGGGGAACTTTGTGTGATTGTGAATGCTTAAAACCAAAGAACTTATTCTAAAGACAGTCTGTGTACTATTAATACACTATTATGCTTGATACTGTGTTTTCAATGAGAAAAGAAGATTTTCAGCATCTTCATACCTTCCCATCCTTGTCATCCGGAGAGTCAAAACTATCCAGGAATTTGCGGAATACTTGGTCTTCGGTGCACTCACCGTTTCAGTATTTAGGGTGATTTTTGACATTGTATACTCCTCTTAGATCCTCAATTTTAATCACACCATCTCCGGTCTTATCCAGCTTTTTTGAATGCCTGTAGCACCACCTCCTTTCTGGCATTAGACATGGGTGGCTACAGTCACATGAATGAAAATAATAACATGAGCACAACTGGCCTAAACTGGTCTAAATAAAGAATACATCACCGTTGTGTGTTTACCCTCAGAGTGATAAGAAACTCATCAAAATCAATCCACTGCCGTCCTTGTCAAAGCGCTGAAAAAGGTTCATGGCCTCTTCTTTCTCGACCAGTGGGCCCTGTTTGAAGTACACCGTAGTCACTCAGGCCTTTCAGGAACTCTTTCATGTCCATTGTCCGACTATTGTCATCATCCATGATCCTAAAAGTCCTGAGAAAATCAGACTGCAGTCAAATATCTGCACTTCAGTCTATATGAAGAAACACGCATCATGCATACTGTACCTGCCCAGTCCCTTGATTCCTGTGGACCCTCGTGCCAAACACTGCAGCCTCAGATGCTCAATGGGGTCTGAACAATTCGCCAGCTGCTTCTTGGCATTGATTGCCATCTCTCGTTCATGCCGCGATGTACCGGCCATCCTACACCTATCTGCAGGGCCGTGGCTAGGCTTTGCGGGGCCCCAGTGCAGGTTGTACCAGTGGGCCCTGTTTGAAATTGTTTAATTTGTATGTTCGTTCTATTTATTTATTTGTGCTATTTACACAATGTTTAGGTTTTTTCAAGTTTGTAGGTGTCCAGGTACAGAAACCGAATAATTAAATGTAAAATAACACTGCATAGTCTTCAATGTAAAAATTAATTATACAGTCAAACCAAAAATTTTTCAAACACCTTCAACATTTCTCACATTATCACAGTTTATTCGCTATGGTTTAAAAAATGGTAATAAAATATGACAAGAACTCCGAGTTAAACTGTGTCAGAACAAATTCATCTTGATAATGTCAGATAACTTTGATAAAAAGGTAATAGATTACAATCAACCAAAACTTCAGACAACTGTTAGTATGACAATATTTACACAACTATCAACACTTTGTTGACCAATTACCAAGCAATGCTTACTTTTGTTCAGTCTGTGGTGTAAAAAGGTTGCATTAGCAATTAAAGGGGTCATATGGTGCAAATTCAATTTTTCCTTTCTCTTTGGAGTGTTACAAGCTCTTGGTGCATAAAGAAGATCTGTAAAGTTGCAAAGACTAAAGTCTCAAATCCAAAGAGATATTCTTTGGATTTGAGAGAATCAAAGTTAAGAGAAGAGAGAAGAGAAGTTAAGAGTCAACCACGCCTACCTAAAACGGCTCGTTCTAACACGCCCCCACATATCTACCTCACGATGTCAGAATATTTGCATAACACCGCCCAAATGTTCACGCAAAGAAAGAAGGCGTAACTTTTATTCTCGCTGTTGTATTGTTGTTGCCGCCGTCTCCATGTCGTGAAGGCGCTGTGTGTTTCGTTGTGAAAGCGAAACTACTTTGTTTGGTCTTCCAAAAGAGGACGATATCCGCTTCGTCATGCCTAGAGCTGATCTGTGCTGGTCGCTGAGGGAATACATCAACTTTCACCGTGGAC